TTTACTTTGATTTTTTACAAGTATTCTATAGAATTCTAATCCAAAATTGTCACTGTGGTATTCTTGCAAACAAAAGAAAGTTCATGCAGATAATCAATAATATGCGTTTTGTTTCACCTCACATGTAAATTACTGTTATTTAGAGTGCTTGTTAGAGCAAATACTTGCATGTCCCTCCTGAATGAATTACCTTTCTCTTCAATTTCTTGCTGCATTTACATGCCTAATGTGCCTTCAATGGCCAGTACTGCTTCAAAAGTGTTTTTATAGAAATGAAAATGTGGTTTTATATGTATGCTGTATGAATTTATGTTCTAAACATGCATACAGTATGTATATGTTCTAAACAGCTTTATATGCTTTTTGAGTTAGTATTTCATCCAACTGCCTTGTTCCATCCAACATTTTTACTGTGACTCAGTTGTGCTGTGTGACTGTAAAAATGAGAAATCATTGACAGTAACTCCAGCTGTCTACAAAAGGAGACCTGCTTAATTTCCTTTTGTAGTGTCAATGCCAATTAGATCATTTATTTACTTTTGTTTCTTAGAAATACATGCACTTTACACCTGAAGTGGACTGTGTATATAATTATACTGTATATGTACAAACAGTATGTATTTCTATTATTTTGCATTTCACATGCGAGGAGTAGCCATATCTGGCCTAATACCTTCTGCGTCTAAGTATTGTAACTTAAAAGTTTCCACATGCAAAGAACCCTCTGTTTAAAGAAAGAAGAAAAGCCGTATAATTATGACTTCCAGACATTCCATCAGGTTAGCAGCAGTGCCAAGTTTCTCCGAGTCAAAGTCTAGCTCTTAGAGGGTTAAGGTATTGCACTACAAGACAGGAAATCTGGCAACTATTGCAGAAACTGTCTGTAACGCAGGCACACAAACAATTTGTCAGTCTTTTCAAATGTGAATGGTTTCGTCAAAGTGGCTGCTCTAGCTCTGTTTAACGGGGGGAACCCTTTCCCTTCTTATTCCGTACATCTTAGAAGAGAAACATGATCCAGGCATTCCGTCACATTCATTTAATTTAAAGCATGTTTTGATTGGAACGAAGATCACAATGAAAGAAATTTAAGAAGGTAAAAAAAAATGGCAGAGAGAAAATTAAATCCTTTCTAATGTCTAAAAATAAAACTTTTTTTTCTAATTAGGCACTAAAACCCAGACATCTTTACAGTGAATTACAGTGGTTGTACTGTATATCAGTAATTAAGAAAGAGAGCTTGCCTAATATCTGAAGAACTGTATATACAAGCACAGAGAGACTGGAAAAGAAACTAACTGGAGTTGCAAAGCAAACACCTGGGCACATTCTTTCTTCTGTAAGAGTTAAGCTCATTACTAGCAGGAAAATAAGATCAAATACTTTGAAAAAGGAATAATGACAAAAACAATAAAATAAGCTCTGATTGAAGAAATATTACCCTTACAAAGCATTAACATAAGCTGTGCATAAGGCATTCATGAATTATTGTAATGATCCCCTGTGGAAAAAAAAATAAAACACAAAGTCTGCTAATTGGCATATAAATAAACCTTATTTTCTACTTTTAATGTTTCCTTATTTTGTGTGCAAGCCATTTTCTCTGTTTTTGCTTGGTAGGAAATCCCTGTAATGTAATAAACATCTGGATATTTCTTTTCTGAGACTGATAAATTATTTCTGTTAAAGAATGAGAAAGCCCTGTTCACAATATTATATACTGTACAGTATCTGAAAAAAATAATTTACCAATTTTATTTATAGTATTTCACACATGTTCACAGTCCTTAGTTTAAAATAAATGAAAGTACATTTACTATTTTGACTGTAATGTGTGTCAGTATTTTATTTGTAAATGTCTTTAGTTTTTTTTGCAAAAAGAGGGCATAGGCTTATTCTACTGTATTCCCTTAATTTAGAATGTTAATTTATTAAACAACTACTCGCTTGCTTTTCTGGTTATTAATCTGCATTCCATGTCTGATCTGAAAAGGACACACACACATTCAACCATTTCAAAGTCTTCTCAAAGATTTACATTTTTCTTTAATAATGGTTCATTAGAGGTTGATTTGTCACAACATGGGGTAATTTAAAAAAATAACATAGCTTCTGCAGAAAAAAAAATATTGTCTCCCTGTTCATTGTTGTTTTTTTTGTTGAACTCGGTAGCTGCCTTGAAATTACGGCATAGAGTTAATTCCCCCATTGCAACCCAAAATAAATTGCTTTCTCCTTTTGAATAGCTGATAAGGTCAGTCCTCAGAGACTAGATGCACAGAGCTAGATATAATCATACATTGATTCATGTCATGTTGTCTTTCCTGCACGCTTTACAGACATTGAAGTCCTTCCATAAGTTGAGATTAACATAAAAGGTGGCCCTTTGAAGAGAAACAGAACATCACTTTGGGTCTTTGTTTCATGGATTTGATTGACATGTGATCTCAATCCATTGGGTCCGAAATATCTGACACACTGAATGTTACTTTTTAAATCAGTTAACCTTCATTTCTTTCACTGTTATGGGGAATGTCCAGGCCATTTTGAATTTGCTAAACGTTAACGAATTCTGAGACATGGTACGCTCTTGGCACACACAAACAGAGATAGCGGCCTACCTGATCAGGATTTTCAGTTTGAGTCGGCTTAGATTATTTCCTGTAACCTTTTTTCTGCAAATTCTCTTTATTGCTAAAACATTTCGGTATCATTTTAATCAATGCATCTTGTTTGCTATCATATATATATATGAATACAGTATGTATGGATACAAATTAAGTATTAGTAATGTTTATTATTGTATTCATTACTGTTGATTGTGTGTCCCTATTAAAGTGGTTTAAAGTACTTTTAAGGATGTGGTCAGCTTTCATCACACTGTATACTCAAAATGTTTAAACTAGTCTTTGGGGGAGGAGGATTATTTGGTAGTTACATTAAAAAAAAAATTGAGTTTTGGACTTTTTCAGAAACAATATACTATGGATCTAGTCTCAAACCTTAAAGCAAAAGAACAAAAATATTTTGTTCAGTTTTACAAAGCACCAGAATGTGGCAAGTTTTTGCTTTCATATTATTAACTTTCTCTAGCCCAATGCGAATACTACTTACCAAGAAAACTTCCAAAACTTTGTCTTTAAATAATAGTTGTTTTTTGTAACGGGCAGCTTTGAGATCATCCTTGGTTTAAATTATCATTTGTTTTAGAATTGTTAGAATTAGTTTTTAACCACACTGAGTTTAGTACATGAGTTCATCTAAATCATACATGTCCACCTTGGTCTTCTCCTTGTGGTCAGTTGTTTTATTGAGATTAGGTTGCCTCTTGTAAACTCATAAAAGGCCTTTGCGATTTACCATCAGCATCGTGTCAGCAAGAAAATGTCATCTTTGACACCAGACATTTACCGGATCTTTGCTTTTCTTGATTGAAAGTTCTAATTAAGTGAATCGAGAGAATTAACTGAAATTAGCTGTCAGAAAGTCACATTTAAATGACTGATGAGCTGCTGCAGCAGTAAACATTTAAATGATATAAATTGCCATTTAAGTGTATGGTTTAATGTTTGTCATGCATTAATGTGACATGAGCCTGCAGTGACAATCAAGCTGCTTGTTCTAATTTGAACACATTTAAGGCTTTTGTGGAGGCAGCCCCATGCAAATTAAGACAATTGCTGTTTTTATGTGCACCCATAAATGTTTTCCCCTTTGCCAGTTAATGAAGAGAAAAGCATGTTTTGTCATTATGTTGCAGAATTACCTAGCCCAGTTGAAACGTGTGATTCTTAGAACAAGTCTTTCAACAAACACAAGGACCCCTTAGCATACAATATAATTGCTGAAAAAAGTATGGTTCATTGCTGTTATAATTTATTTGCCATCAAGTCATTCCTCTCTGTGGTAAAGAAAAAAAATATTATCCAGTTTTACAGTTTGACAAAAACTAGAATTTCCTATCAGCAGGATGAAAATGAGTTCTAAATTCTGAAAATGAGTATATTTTTAAACATGATTTAAGGTTTAAAGTACATTAAACCTTTTATTTATAAGCACTTTCCAGTCAATTCGAAGAGCTGCATGATAGTAGACATATAATACGTATAACAGAAGTATAGAGAAACAGAAAAAAGATCACTATAAATGTACTCAGTAAATCTGAAATGTGTAACTAAATTGTTAAAACCTATCATGAAAAAATTGGTCATTAAGCGTGTTTTAAAAATGTCGACAGGTGCAGAATCTCTAATGGATTTGAGTTTTGAGTTCCAAAGCCATGGTACTGCATAAGAGAAGGCTCTATCACCTAGTGTGTAGAGCCTGGACGTCAGTAATGTAAAAAAAAAAACCTTCACTAGCATTCACTCTATATTTCACGGCAGGTCAGTGTAGCTTACATACTGTAGGATTGGAGAGTAGTAAGCTGCAGGATTTTGAACATTCTGAGCTTATTTATATCCTTAGTAGATATCCCAGTAAATAAAGCATTACAGATGTCTAAACATGATGAAATAGATGTCTAAACATGATGATATAAAAGAAGGAATTATTATTTCAGCATAAACCAGATATAGCAGAGTCTCAAATAAGCATTGTTGCATACTGGAAAAATATCCTTGTTACATTGCTAACATGAGCATTAAGAATAAAAAGTAATACCAACGTCTCTGATTTCTTTTAAACGTATTTTTAATACAATCAACTGAATTAATGAAGATACCTGTACCAACGTCATTTGAGGTGAAGCAGATATTGGGAACCTATGGGTATAACATCAAGTGAGACACCACCTTTTTTTTTTCTTGTGTGCTAATACAAAGAAAATTCTTTATGGAAGCCTTTCCAATTATAAGATGTTTTGAAAGGTGTGGTTCTTTTTATTGTGTCTATGAATTATCTTAATTCATGTAAAGAATTTGAGTTTCAAGATCTTGGCGAATCTATGAAATGAATGGCTGTTGAACTAAGAATAACATTCTACTTCATTTTCTTTGCAGGCCCTTGAGAGTGAGTTTGTTTCCTGTCAGCTTCACCAGTGGATAGACCTGATATTCGGGTACAAGCAACAAGGGCCAGAGGCTGTACGTGCCCTTAATGTCTTCTACTATCTGACGTATGAAGGTGCAGTCAACTTGAGCTCCATCACTGACCCAATGCTGAGAGAGGTGAGAAACAACAGAAACAACTATGAGACTCTGGTGTCTTTTGAAGCAGGGAGTTCTGCAGTAGCAATAGAATGCATTTTTACTCTGTAGTCTTATGTAAAATGTGATTATAAAACACTGCATGTCATTGAATTAATTTGATTAAGACAAAATCAATTTTATATTATTTACTGGAATTACTAAATCAGTGCCATGGATAGCTCGATATCCAAGAGGTTGCCTCATGAATTTGGGTTTTAGTTTTAATGTGCTTTTTTAATGCCACAAGCTAAAGTTGAACCATTTGTATTTTCTTCTGGCTGTTGTCTCAGGGGGCATTATATATGCCACATTTAACCTTTCCTATATAATACGATTGCACTTTCCCCCTTTCCTTTGGGTAATTTATGATTGAAGTGATTCTTTTTTTCAGTTCAATCTTTACTTCTAGAAACTAATTACTATGTAGAGATTCCTGGGACTGCTTGTAAGCTGACTCCGTACACAGCTAAATTAAATTCAATGTCTTCCATTACAGACAAGAGATTTTTTACAGAGGCTGGATAGCCTATTGTTTTACTCCTTCTGTTCTGTAACTAACTCATATTGAACCAGTAACATTTATCTAATAACTGTTTAACCTAGCAATGCCATATGTTGGCAAATTAAAAGTTGTCTACTGAACTAAAAATATCACAAAACCATTTTTCATCTGCAAAGAATACAGATTCAATGTACTGTACTTTGTCTTTCTGAAAAAGAGATTTCAGAAGTCAAGTCCCGAAAAGTGGAGAAATATTAAATACAGGCAATAACATTCCTGCCCATTAAATGTTATCCCATTTGTCTCTTGTGAATGCATTACTTTGGAAATGAGGCTTCATGTTACAAGGATTGTATGGCGACTACAATAATGCAGGTGCAAGACCTAATGACATCATATTATCCAACCTGCCAGCTGATTACCCCATTGTTGGAATGAAAGGTCTGGGGGTTTGTCCTTTTGATCATATGAAGTGGTTTCTGCAGAATTACTATCAACTTTCATTCATTTTTCAGACATATTTGCCTCATGAAGTGCTCTTGTTGAAATGGAAGCTAGGTTGACTCTGTTAAATAAAACCATTGAAAAATGCAATACTGGGAAAAAAAATTGGCAACCAGTAGCTCTGATTTGACAGTCATGAATCTCACACAAAAGCGTACACCATGCCGATTTGGTCTGCAATAGAACATGCATGACTTCTCACTAAAACAGTGTCACTGATCTGTAAAGCAGAGGTGCTAAGTATTTTAGGCATTCAGACAGGCCCTCTGCAGAATGTATACACAACCTCAGTATATCACTGATTACTGAAGACCTCTGAGATGCTTTTATGTTTTCCCAGCACAGATCATCAGGATACCACAGTTGGCAGTAGAGAACAGCAGGTTCATTTTATTTCTCTTCTTGGATTTTTCACTTTTAACATTTGTGAATAGCGGTGTGTCAATCAGTTCATGTTATGCTTGTTACATTCAAAACCTGTTATTTTCTTCATTCACACTCCTATTGAAGTCACGTAACGATGTACAAGAAATTTTAATACAATTTTACAGGCAAAGGCTTTACTTCCTGCTAAAATTTGTAAGGTCTGAGTCTGGATGCTTTTCAGTCATTATGTGAAGGAGCAGTTGGTGTGTCTAGACAGATTTTGTTTTGTTCCCCCTGTCCTTCATGCTCAGTGACTGTAGCATCTAGAGAAGAGAGGCAGGTTGAGATTTATGAATTCATTCAGGTTATTCATAAAGAGAGGCAGTCCTTAGCCTGGCATGCAGATTCATTACTGTGGTTTATGTCATTTCTTAGCCTAGTCATTATGGAAACATCTTTTCAGAACAAAATTGAATCTATAATTTGAATCCTCCACATCTAGGTATGGAAAGCAAAAGAAAAAAAACAGCAATTATGAATTTATTATTATTGTTGTTATAATAACCCAGTTCCTTTGAATGAGACATGAGGACTGACTGCCTGCCCATTAAAACTTCCTGTTATAATTAATAATTCTGTTTAACCAAAAATGCCAGTTGAAATAGATGCTTTTTTCCAAAGACAACCAGTCCAAGATGGTGCCACCAATGCTCCACAGAAGTCAAAACAGGCAAAGGCAATAAAGGACAATCCAAAAAATAACCTAAAAGGGCATACTGTCTAATAATGGGACAGGGCTGTGTTAAGAAGTGGAATTGTCTTGAAGAAGTGATTTAGTCATACAACTGATTACACCCTCAGATACAAAGGTAAATAGTTTCAGCCCAGCCTGCAGCAGATTGAATTGACTTTCCCCAGAGTTGCCAGATGCTGTTGATAAGTTCAGTTTGATAAAGGTGCTACTTCTAAAATTGTAGGATAGGTATAGAGAACTGCAATAAATTATTACAATGGGAAGGTGGTTTCCCATCTAAAGGTCTGTGGATTAAACCAGTGACACATTCATCCATTATGCAGAAAGGGCCAATCAAAGAAAAAAGGTTGCAATGATAAGTGTGAGGGGGCACCAGTGATCAGTTTTAGGCAGAACCATGTAAGACATCATGCTTAGAGGCAGCTCTGTAAGCCACATCACCATCGTCCAAAATGGGGAGTAATAACAGTATCGAAGTAGTGTATGCCTTGAGGAATGTATAAAAAGATTTCTTGCAAGAAAGGAAACCAAGTCTAGACTTTAACTTAAGTTTAAACAAGTTTTGAAAGTTAAAGCTAAAAAACTAGAAGCATAGGTATTTATGTTCTCTGACCTGTTACAATTTTGTTTTGTTAAAAGTAAACATTTTGTAATTATTAATGGTGTTGAAGATGTTTAATTTTTTTTATTGATTTGCATTCTTACTTTAGCAGAGTTCAGAAGGAGACATACAGTAGCTTGTGGAAAGTCTGCTGATTTGTATTTTAACAGAGCAGCAAATTAGATCATTACAGATGATAAAGTGGGGTCATTAGAGTGTAAGATGGTGATATGGATGTAGTGGTAGACATGAGTGGTGCCTAGTACTTGAACAATATGAGTAATATAGATCAAAGAGTAGGGCTCATGTGGGACACGCTTTATATCATATGAGAAAGGTGGTGAAACAAATGTCAGATCTTACACATTCTATATGGTTTCATAAGTAATTCTGAAATCATGAAAGGGAATTCATGTCAGGTCCAAGCAGGGATGTTAATCTTAGGTAGAGCCTTCCCTCTTTATTCAAATGTTGAACAGCTTCTCCAGCTGTCTTGTTATGCAGTGGTCTAGTGCAGCATGCCTCCCAGGTCGTGCTGCACTTCACTGCTGGGTGCAAAGAGTCAGTTTCTAGATGTACATAGCTTCCTTTGGGAAGCAGTGTGCATTTGCAAGTATTATTATTATCATCAATAATATTTTCCCCCTTTTTGATTTTTCATAAGTCCTTTTTTGACACTTAATCGTAGAAGAAATTTTGAAAGCAAGGTGCCAATGAGGACTGTTTTCTTCCAATTGCTTTGAATTGCAGTACTTGGCAAAACTTTTGTAATTAGAAATGCTTTAAAATGCTTAATCTTTTTTTTCCCCAGAAATTGCTCTCATGTATGCAGTTCAGTGCTTCTTGTATAATCGGCAACAGAGAGTGTAAAAAATATAGTCATATAGTCCTTGTACAGTACATGGTCTGTGGTACCAACACTTGCGTTGATTTAAATCAGTCACATATTAAGATCTTGTCATGCTGGACGATTTGTTAGTGTTAATTACATAAATATACAAAACTAATAGTCTTGAGTTGTATCCAAGTAGGTGCATTGGCAGAGAGGAAGAAACGAAAACGAAAGAAGTGGTGTGAAATAAGGCAGGGCCGGTCCTCCAGAGTATGTTAGTGAGTGACGTTTGTTTCTGTTGGTCCTGTCTGCTGTGATGGGCTGGTTTCTGTCAGGCTGGCAGCTGGGATTATGTTGTGGCAGCCTGGCAGCTGCAGGAGTGGAACTGCCCCAGAGGCTGCTGGCCTGCGCGAAGCTGTTGGTTTGGAATGTCTCACACTAGATTAGGGTCGTTACAAGGCTCTGATGGGGAAACCGATTCATGTTTTCACAGACGGTGATTACTTCCTGTTTTACCTCTATGGCTGCCACAGAAATTGGGTTTAATAAGAGCTCTCCTAATATTTGGCTCAGCCCAAACAATGGTTTCCCATTGCTTCAGCTAAACACTTGTTTTAGAAAGCTTCCAGATTTACACACAAAAACGTAGAAAATAAAGGTGATAAATTACAAAAAAATGACAGTTTTACATCAGTATTTACACATTAGAAGAATAAAGAACAATTTTGGCAACCTTTTTAAGGTGTACAGTAAAGTCTTCTATAGGAATCTTGAAAGAAAATATGAATATACTGTACATGCATCTTCTGATCGAAAAAAAAACTGTTTTATTTGTGTACATAAGGCTGTGGAAAGAAATTTTTTTGAAGTGATTAGTGGCTGATCCAGTCGAAATTTCCACCCAGCTTGTGCAGAAACCAGGCCATGCTACTGTGGCTGGGAGAACCCAGAGGATCTCTGATGTGGCCTAAGAACTGCCAGGCTAAATTAACTAGAGCAGACAGGATCTTCCAGGAGATTGAGCAGAATATATATTGCTGTGACTGGAGCTTCGGCAGGACTGGGAATTGTGTGTGCAAGCTTTGTCTGATCTCCAAATGGCACTGAAAACTTGTTACACTGAGGAAGATTTTTCTGCAGTTCTTTAAAAACATGTTCAGCATTATGTTCTTTAACTCAGTTCACTCTCTTAGGATCTTACTGTAAGGATTGTCTGTGAACAGATCACCTCACTTAATTTATAATACGTTAATTGCTTTGGTGGATCATGTGTGACTGACCTATCAGACAGTTCTCAATATTTATTGGAAAAAAAAGGACACAAAATTTGCTCAGTCTAAAGACACAATGAGACCAAAAGTGTTTGCTTTTTTAAACATGCTAGAAGTAGTAAGCTGTAGTAAAAAAAATATTTGTGAGATGTGTCAGGCAGACCCATAACACACCACCTACTGATTTAGTGTTGCTAATGTGTGTGATTAGATAGGAAGCACTCAGGATTAGGCTGTAATTCCCTGTGAAGAGGAGGGATTACACGTCATCTTCACAGCCAGCACAGGCCCTTCAGGTTTCTGACTCACTCCAATTGCACAAGAACACCTTTGCAGATATTAACTGAATGCAATTTTATTTTCTACTGTACATTCTACTCTACATGTATCTTGGACACGTTTTAATCATTAATGATCTTGGATGTAGTTTGCCTTTTATTCCGATGCATAGCCCATACATTTCACATGTTAGTAAGATGTACATGTTTGGGTTCTTCTTTTCGTGTAGATGGATTGCCCATAACACAATTTAAATTGTTTTAGTTCATTTAGTTACAAGATCGAGTTACATTGATAAACAAATGCATGCCTTCTTAATTCTTTGTAACTTGAGTATTAAAAGTTTAATCAAACAAAACACTTTTCTCAGCAATCCCTCTTAACCATCATAATTCATTGTAATTATGGACTGTTTAATAGAAACCATAAGACATTATTAGGGTAGGAATGTCTGTACCAAGTAGGATTATATTTTCCTCAAATGGATTGTCTATTGCTCATTTATATTTGCTGGCAAATATACCCGAGATTTACGCTAATACTGTGCTTCTTGTCATTCTTTCTATCGTTACCCATTAGCATCCCACCGCACCTGCCTAAGCAGATAGTTCTTCCCCACATGCTGCAACAAATCTAAACAGTCCAAAATCTGAAGTTATAACCAAGATTAATATTGTGACTGCTGTGGATCTCTGTACTGGGGCACATCTTTGTAGTAACCCTAAAGTCATACAACCATAAAGATGATTGTGATACTTTGTTTTTGATAATGTAAGATGTTTTGAACGTTACACAAATAATACATCTTACAAATGTATAAAGAGAGGGGCACAAAAACTGTTTTTTCTTAATATACAGATATACAGTACAGGTACTGGACAATAAAATGGAAACACCAATGTAAAGTCGCTTAATAGTGCGCTTGGACACCAAGCATAGTCATTTCAGAATATCCCATTAATCCTTGATTGGGTCCAGAGTATGTGACTGAGGAGGTCATGGCATGTGGATCACATCAATGTCAGGCTTATCAAACCGTGATCATATGTACTCATGGGATTAGTGTTGATCTTGCCTTCTAAGGGAATGAGAGCACCTAAACCTTGCCAAGAAAATTCACCCCATAACATTACAGAACCACTGGAACCGATCATTGCTGAACTAGCACTAAGGGCTGTAGAAGTCTTTAGGTAGGTGCCACACACATCCACTTGTTGAGATCATGTTGAAGCATGATTCATTTGACCATATTGCATTACTCCACTGCTTGATTGTCCATTGTCTGTTTTATTTGCAAGTCTCAACTTGCAAACATGTGTGGCCAGGTGTGGCGAGCAGTTAGTGCCCTGCAGCCTGACTATGTAATCTCCCTCTGTGCAGTTCTCGGTAGAGAGTTTTTGATTAAACTGGGCGCTCGTGCCCCATGTTGAAATTTGCAGTCAATTGGCCTGTTTCACTTTGCACTTCAAACTTAGGTATCTATACAGTATAGAAACCTGTGTCTTTCCCTTGGAGGTCCATGCTTCCAGCACCTTATATGATTAATGCATCATCAACATGCAACAACAGCAGGTTGAGCTCCCTTGGTCGCTGAAGCTCCTGTCAAACACACCCCTGTAATCACCTCCCACCCTCACAATCACTGAGATCTCCTCTTGTAGCCATGCTAGACATAATTATAGGCAGCCAGGCAGGTCCAGTATTTTTACACGTGACCCTATTGCATGCTGGGATGTTATTTGCTTAATTAGCACATGAACCTCCCCTGTGTGGCACCCTTTGCTTTCAGTATACTTAATGTCTCTTATTCACCTAATGTTTCCATTTTTTGTCCACTACCTGTAAATAGTGTGTTTTGGTAGCATCACAGTTTTTAAATACTCGAAGTGAAGGCATGAACCTTCCGTGTCTCTTCCCAGGTCAGTGCCAAGCTGCAGGCTATTCATAATTTAAATTTACAGAATATAGAATAGCACTTCATCAGATATGGGTCAGTGGTTCCAAAGCTATTGGCCTCTAAAGCTCAGATAATCAGGTTAGGAGCATGAAAAGGTAGGACACTCTGACCTATTTTCACAGCGTTTGGAATTACATGTTGTAATAAATGTCAACTCAGAATTTAATCAAATTTGGTTGAGTGATTCTGAAGATCTACATTACATTAGCTTAAGCAAACTGTCCAAAACAAATGGAACAGTAAGTCACCGTGACCTTGATCCCAGTGTTCATAAGAACATTGTATCTTGTGTTCATGTGAAAAACTGTGATAATAGCATCTAAGGTTAACAGTATTAAGGTACAACTATTTTGCCCTACTAGGCAGCTTCTTTGCATTCAAGTACTACTTGGTAACAAGTGCAACAACCTCTTGAACGGGAATTTAGCATTTTTGCTATTTTAAAAAGTATTTTAACAAATTTGTGGGTGTATTTCACTGTTTAAAATCACAGATGGACAATTATCCATTTAGCTAGATACTGTATATCTGGCATTATGCAACAATATACTTTTTAATATTGCTGTGCCTTTGCCAAAGTGCCAATTCTGATACGTGCTCCTGATCTTTGGCCCATGTCTGTGGAATTATTTCTTGCCTGCCGAAGAGATGAGTGGTCCTGAGTGCACACAGCAGGCCATGATTCGTCATCAGTATCTCAGTCTTATCTTCATAATTGACTATGTAGCACAGATTGAACAAATCAAACGCAATTGACATTAAAGGTTTAATGCGGATGTCTGCTCTGCTCTGCTCTGCTCTGCTCATCTATTCAGGAAATATTTTTGCACAACTTTAGAATCAGCTTGTTGTATTAAGGGTCAGTGCTGAACAATCATAAAGCAGTTTAAAGGGTGGAATCATGTTTATAATAATATATTTTTTTATTTGTGATATTTAAATCATTTCAGGGCTCCTTATTTATTTGTAATGCAGATCTTTATGTAAGAGATCTCGCTGTGAGAGACATCCTACCCTGCATACTAAACTGACAAACGTTTTGCTTTTTTAAAAACAAATCTATACAGAGTTGCAGATTGATAATAGGGGATAGATTTGTTCCATGTACAGTAGTTGTCATAAAGCATTTTCTAGGCTTTGCCATCTGTTTACAATTGGTAAACTAGAGCAAGCACCTGAATTCACACCAAATAAAGAACTGAGTAACAGCCTGTTGTTCCCTGCAGATGTTAGAGAGCTTGATCAAAGATATGTAGCAGAAAATGTAGTGTAGTTTCTGATGCTCAGATATCAAGGTGGAATGAGGCCAAGGGTCTGGGAGGGAGAGATGTGGGAGATTTGAACATACCTGTTAAAGATTAGTTTTTTTTCTGCTTTCAAATGTCTGACAAATGCAAGAAAGCCTGCTGCTGGGTAGTTGGAAACAGGGCCAAAGACGAGGGTTTGTGACTGTAACCGTCCGTTTCTGTTTAGTGTCAGAGAATCAGTGTAAGGAAAGTTTACTGCATTTCTCATGGAAATGCTGTTTCGAGTCCTCTAAAATGACCTCATAGTCGGTACCGGTGCCAGTTTGTCCTGAAATTGGGAGGGAGGGAATGCACACACACACTGACTGCTCAGACACCCTCAAAAAACCATTCTTGACTTTCAAACGCATGATGTGATCCAGAGTGTGCGACTCGACATTTTCAGGTGACATTTATAGTCCTATAGCTTGTAATTAGCACCTCTTAACATGCGATCTTGACTTGTTTGTTTCCAGGCTGTGGAGGCTCAAATACGAAGCTTTGGACAGACCCCATGTCAGCTGCTAATCGAGCCACACCCCCCAAGGAGTTCTGCCATGCAGGTGGTGAGTCATGTTACAGGGACAGGCATTAGCCCTTTTAAAGGAGTTTAGATTACTTGCTGGTTTTCCTAGGACTTTATTGGTGCATTGTGCAGTTTTCACAAAATAATCTAAATCAAGCTATTCCAGAATTAAATCCAATATCCAAAGGGTCAATAAATTGCAGTGCTGCCTTGTTAAATGTAAGCCTGAACTTGTGTTTTGTCTTTCATGGTTGCCTGCTGGTTTGCTTCAAATTAGATTTGAGGTTTTGCTTTGTTTTTCCCTCTGTCCTAGCCCCGAGAACCCTATTTTCTAAACTCTTTTCTTCATTAGCATCTAAGAGACCAGAAACTGATTAATTTTTGGAAAAGAGCCTAAAAAAGCTACCAGTGAACACTTGAGATTGTGTTTGCCACCAGAATGAAAATGAGGGAAAGCTGCATATTTTTAACTAGAGCAGTGTTAGTGTGAGACTGCGAAATGGAGAGAGTGAATACCGGCAGGCAAAGTGCCTATTAGTGTATTGGCCTAGTGGTGTTGACAGCCGGATTCTCCCCCACCATCATTATTCACACCACATGGACAGTGCTTCATACAGGGGAAAAGACAGGAAGTGATGTAACAGAAGTATATAAACACAATTCATTCGGAAGGTTGTTATTAATGTTCCTTTAAGAAAAAAGGATTTGGCTATGGACCTTTTAGAAATAAACTACATGTGGAATAACGAACAGCAATTTTCATGGCGTAATGAGCTTTGGCATACATTATTTTATGAATATGAATGTGCTGATAACACTCTCACCCTACATACTTGTTGTATTTTGCAGAGAACCCTATTTTCTTCTTTTCGCCGTAAATAATAAATGATAAAAACATGTGAATTTGTGTGACAAAACGAAAAATAAGAAAAAGATCCTCAGGTTCTAATCATATAAAAAATGTCTTTCAAAAAATAACTAAAATCATCATAATAAAGCAAAAAGTATCCTGTTGTGCAAACTATTTTAATTGAAACATTATGGCTGGGGCACAAGGAAATGGGACACTCTGAACTTAACAGGCACTTACATATTTTGATGTTCAAGTGGTTAAAGGTGTCTTGTATTTGATTTTTTTTCCATCTCACTCTGGCAGGTGTGACTTTAGAATTTGACAGAACTGCCTCAATTTCACAGGCTTTGCCCAGCTATACAAACCAAAAGCAGATGATTTTTTAAAGAAAGCTGGCCTGCACTCTGTGCCCTGCTCTTGCAATCTAGTCAGCCCTTGGCATCCATTCATGCTGATGGTAATGACATTGTCAAAATCACTAGTAACCTGTCAAACACAGGGATTCTCTACAATGTGCTTTCGACATTAAACACGTATGTATTTGGTTCTTACGAATAACATCCATGCAGATCTGAAAGTCTCTATAGAATGCCAATAGGTATTACTAGTAGTTCCACAGACTGCAGTTTTCACCAAACTTTGCCTGCATTATGTTAAATTAGGTAAGAAACTCTTGGACTACTGATGATCTATTACAAAACTAACATTTAATCTTACAAAATCATTAAAAATGAAAACACTACATATTATTGGAAAATTTATTTGCAAAAACATTATTACAGATGGGAAAGCTCTCCAATAAAACGTGAGAATTTGTGACAGGGCTGCTCTCCCAAAGAGTGTGTTATATTCAGAGTTTAATTCTGTTCTTGCTGAGTGTAATGTTAGGTTGACATGTGAATTGGCTGCAATGTTAGGTTGATTTTCTAATGACATTTGATAAATATAAGAGTATAATGCTAAAAAGAAGCCTTCTTAATATATACCCCAAAAAATCTATATTTTAGGAGAAAACATTTTCTTACATTCTGTAGGATTTAGAATTTTATTCTTTTATACTGTATTTTATTTAGTACATGTTGATAAAAAATATGTCTGAGCAAACAAAATTTCTCATTTAAATATTTTATATCTTGCAATACCAAATCAAACTGAAGTGTTGTTTTCACTGTGAACTGTTGTCAACACAAGAGGAAGATTGACTTTCAGACCACATAGGGAGTACACTGAAAATAAAACAGTGTTGCTGTCTTGACGGCTTGTTTATCATATACAGTACTGAGTGTTTCAAAACACCTATATACTATACAGTTACACCACATAAAAATGATTAGTACAGCTTTCTTAACCTTCACATATGTATTTATTCTTGTTACATATTTAGAGCCAATGACTTCAGCCCAATTGGGCATCCTGCATATACACTATAAAATGCCTGTGGAGGCACTTACTTTGCTACAATGTGGTCAGCCAGTGCTCTGTTAGAGGTTGCAGGAAAATAAAATACTGTCTTCCAAGTGCCTCAACTGGCAAAGGTGCTCACCCAAGGTCAGGTTAAGCTCTGTGGTTCTGGTGTCACAGGTTTGAGAAAAAGATACACAAATAAGTACCAAAAAAAAGTTTATTTTTCATTTTCTAAAATGAATTTAAAACTCCAAAGAGAAAGGTCCCTGTTCATTTTTGTATAACATCAAATTCAGTGAAAGTAAAGATCACTGCAAAAGGTCATTACTCACCCATATTTAAATATATTTATATATACATTTCAAAGACGATCTCTGTGTTCAAAGAAGAGCAACAAGAAAAATTGCTGATCTCAAGTGATAGTCATACACAGACTTTTTGAAGGATCCAAATCACTTTAGTCTTGGACAAAGGGGATTAAAAGGAGATTTATTATAAGAGAGGTAAAATGTATAGATAGGGGTAAACACTGGTGACTACTTCACATTCAGTAGTGAAACAGATACACATAAGTAAATACTGTACATTACATTTTTGGTTAAATGCTCCAGGATTGTGTGAAATCCCTTGTGTTTCACATTCTTACTTTAACATGCACATACAAAACACATACTGTCCATCTAAAGACTCATTCATTAAATGAATATGGTTTTATGTACTGTAATAATATTAACTGAAAAGGGCTTTACAGTAGTATGACTAGAACTGGAATTTCTTTCATTCTGGGGGAATTCTAGCAGTTTGCCCTTTAATTCTTTAATGCCGGGTCCAAAAGCCTCAAGTCTGCATGGGCTCAGGTTGTTCACAGGTCATGCCAAGCCTGTGTTCCATTTTACAGAGACAAGATACCAAAGGTGAATAAAGCATTTAAGAAGTCATTATGGAATCCCCTCTTCTAATATATTTATCCTCCTTTCCATTCTCAAATTTGTCCTTAAAGGGACAGTAGCTTTGAAAAGAAAGCTTGGCTTTTTCCGTGGGTGTTTTGATGTCTGCCTCATGCTGTGTACAGTGCATAAGCAGTAATTTACACCAGGTGTAGCAATTAGCAAGCACATGCACAGTGCCTGTTTTGTCTGGGTGTGTAGCTCCTGGCACGTCCCCTGGTGCTTTTGCAACATCAGATCTCTGGATTTAATTGAGGCCACATTAGATGAGGCATTACTGACACCTTTAATTGAATGAGTATTTGGGAAGGATTAGCTCATAATATTGATTGGCTTTAAGCCACTTGCACAGAAGGGAAGTAGAGTAGCATAACTTGTATTCACACCTTAAGTATGTGTCATTTGGAGCAAAGAAGGGCATTTGGTTACACATGGAAAAAAAAACCTTTCTAATGTATTTTGCTTCATTTAGTCTTTATAAAAAAAAACTTTTTTTCCCTAATTATATTTACATCAACAAAGTAGTGAAGCATAAATACATCTGCTGCCAGTTCTTATTCATTCCATTCCATCTACAGTCTTTGTAAATGCATATGTGAATGTAGCTTTTGAAATGTACTATTCATTACAATTCCAATTCATTGTCTTCATAAGAATATTCAGCCACTTCACTCTGTCTGTCTTGCTGTATTCTGTGTAACAGGATAGCAGGCATGTTAATGTTTTGTTTTAAAATCTTCAAAAAAGGTCATTATTTTTAAAGCAAATTATTTTTTTTCAAATTTAAGAATGGGAAATTTGTCTTTAGTAATTACTTACTGGCAATGTTGTGGACCATTGTACATGTATTGAGCCAGGCAGTGATATGTCATCTTAACTTTTACATTTATAAAACCTTTTTCTTATAATTGCAGTAGATAGGTTTACATACAGATATAATTTGCTTTTGTTAGCAATCATTTTGACTAATGGTTAACAGCATTCAGACAATTCTACACATTTCAGTTTTTGTGTAATAACCAGGGGAGATTAATTTCTTGCCCCTGCAGTAAAACTTCAGAAGCAACCTAATTACCTTAAAATACTGTCACCTTTTTGGCTGCTTCAAAATCTTACAATTTGTCTTCCCTTGAAAGTTGTGGGGCTGCTAATACCTCACATTATTATTTTTCTGTCTTGGATGTGGAAATGTAATTGCTTCCTTTAAAATGTACAATATATTAATTTTCAATTCAAGTTTATTGTGCAACAAGTACCAACATTCTTGACAGGATAGTGCATACCTTGAATAGGTTTATTTACTGTTTAAATCAAATATTTGTAAAATCTAATAGTACTAATAATTACTTTATATACATTAGTTAATAACTAATAATAAGTTGAAACATCTGTGTGCTGCTGAAAGAAGCTTTCTGCACAGAAGAGCTATCACCTTGTAGCCTGGTCTCATCAAAATCAAATCACAGAAGCCAAGCAAGACTGTCTATGGTCAGCAGTGAGACAGGAAACAGGATACTGCAATGAGTAGTGCTGGGGGATCAGTAGGAATTTTTTACCTCTGGCCCAGGATTTTCAAACCAGTTCTTCAGTATGGTAATAGGGAACACTACACTGATCCCATGGCACTTTTCAAAAGAGTGGGGGTATTAACTGGCTGAATTACACTCTAGAAGTTGGACAATCTGACCTGTTGTAAGTTTCCCCAAAATTCCCCAAATAGTGAAGCAATTTCAAGTCCTCTGTCTGATCTGTTATGTAGTGACACTGCTGATGTGTAATGGACATGTCACCCAGATGCGTACCGCACTTCTGTGGTGGATAAAATGAATCCACCTTCTGTATGTGAAGTGCTTTGGGATTCTTTGAATTGAAAAGTGCTGTATGAATCAAAGACTTATTACTATTGAAGCATATATTAGAAAAATATGACTGTGCAGTGTAGAAGATCCTCAGCTCTATTCAGTTTGGCTTTTTTCCTGAAAAAAATCATTTGATCTGGAAACCCAACTCCTGTCAATCAGCTCCAGTTCTGTGAATGTCCAGCCCTTTGCCTGCTGATCTAAACTTCTACCTTTGGCTTGGCCGTGCTGTTCTGCAGTGGTTTCCTAACCTGATCTCTCTTCCCTGTGCTTTTCTCTCTCATCCTTTCCCGGGTCGTTCCCCGCCTCCTCTGTTTGGTTTTCGTTCCCCCGCCGTGGGCCACTCAACAGTATCTCCTCCTGCAGACCCCTCTGATGTTCACTGAGCAAATGCAGCAGGATGTCATCATGGTGCTGAAGTTTCCGTCCAACTCGCCCGTGGCTCACGTGGCCGCCAACACCCAGCCTGGCCTGTCGGGGTCTGCCATCATCACTGTGACGGCCAACAGGCTCTTCGCGGTCAACAAGTGGCACGGGCTCACGGGTAAGGAATCATTCACCTTTAAAAAGAAAATGAGCTTATTTTAGAGAACTGATACAACCATTTTAAGTACAAATGACATTTCACAGCCATCCTTTCATCATGCAATTTTGCGAATATAGGTCATACATGTGAATTGAATGTATTTTTATCTGTTCCTTTCACTTTAATTTTGCTCGCTTCTTACCGAACTCTGCCAATTCAAAAATAAGGAAGATTCATACTGTACGTTTTTATGATTATAATGAGGGAGAAATGTATGTAAATGTACATTATTAATTAATGTTTCAGGTAATCATATATCAGTGACTGGATGTTCATTCGAGGTTGTGTATGGCCTTCTTTAGCTTTTATCACAGCACTGAAGCATCCCCTGTCCTGGAGAGCTGAAGGCCTGCAGATTAATGTATCTGGTGCTCTTAAACTTTTTAACTTAATAAATAAGAACAACTTGATCATTGGTCATACTTAACAATTTCAATCCTTTGAAAAATAACCCAAAGTTGAATATATGGAAGTTTCCTTTATGTTTCGAAAGAAGCTTAATTGTATGTTGAGCAGGTTAGATTTCCTTGGGATATTAGCATGTGTACTATGAATTCATCAAGAGCTAACACTTATATTATGCAATGTTTTAAATATTGTATATCTGATCTCAAATCATGATGTCATTGAAAATCATTCAATAGCCCTGAAGGTTTTGATTATTTTGTTTTCTTTATAAGGAAATGTTTGTCCTTTTTTTCTAACTCATCTGTTAGGAAGGGTCCTAAAAAATGTTATAATGCAATTTCATATAAGGATTAATATTTTTCTTACTTTTTTACTTTTTCCTTACTTAGGCATAAAACACCTTACTTATTATGTTGCCAGATATATACTGGCAGTTATATTGCTGTAAAATAAACCTGAAAATATAAATAAAACATGTTTTATAGCAGATTAGAGAATTTCAGTGTTATAAAATTATGATTGACCCTACCAAAATAATTGACTTCACTTTAGCATGGGTAACTTTGACATGTGCAGATGTATTTGTCAGGAAGCTATCGATTTGCTGTACAATTGTACAGAATCCTTCTTTTGTCAAGTATTGACATTCTTGTCTTCTAAGAGCTGCAAAGAAAACAATGGTTGCATTGAGGCTTAAATATCATCATTTAATTAACTTCCTGACAAAGAAAGAAAAATGCACTGAAGATCTTACATGATATTTAAATCTCTGAGCACGTTTTTTTAATTTTTATTGTACGCTTTATATAAAGGGAAACACCAGACAGCATTGCTGTTGGAGCTACAGTACATGCAGATAATTCTTAGAACATTTAATTAGCCAAGCCAGAAGGTTCTGGACTACTTTCACCATGCTGTCATCAAATACTGTAGTTGACTCTAGACAACACTATCCCAAAGAAAATGTATCCAATTGCAAAAGAACGGAGGCATCGTTTGCAGTTTATGAATAGGTTGTTTCATGGTGGTACACAAGAGTTTTGAATAGAACTTCAGTTCAGACACCCTGTGACTGCCACCATTAAAAAAACATTTGTAATGATAACGGCTGACACTTTGAGTTTTAATGTGGAAGAATTGTAAACAGTCCTGCATGATTATTTGGGAAACAGTTCAAAAGCTTCACCTTTATGTGTCCATGATGCTTTTTTTTTATGGCAATTTCAATCTGAAAGAAAAACTGGGACAAGTACACAAAGTGTTTACTGCTGCAGATTTGGAATTTCTGCCATCGTCATGAGCCCGGACAGCTGTTCATGGAGTGGCAGCATCTAATTTATCTAAGCAGGAAAATTAATTTATAATTTTTCGTAGGTAAGAATTATTTTTTGCATGCTAAGAGCATAAGGCATACTGCTGCACCAGGAAAGAAGCACCGTTTTTTATTGTGTCAAGCTCCAGGACACGTCCCCTAGCTATTTGCAAGAACTTCCTTTCGCTGCCCGTTTGCCATGCTTGGTTCCAAGTATTTGTATTTTTTATTTCAAACCACATGTTTTTAGGTTTTGTTATTTCACCAAATCCAATTTGTAATCAGCGGTAGTTTCTGACTTGCCTTGTGGTTACAACCTATGCTGCTCAGGGAGAATGTGGGCTTGCAGACACATGCCTTCACCCCACACCCACCTACCAGAGCCATCATTTCTTGGCCCATGGCAAGTTCCGTGGTGCTTTACAAGAGAGTTACTGTAGCACTGGCTGGAGTTGCCTGGTGTCAGTTGCAGTTGCCTGATGTCAAGGATTCACTGCTTTTGGACACTTGGCAGTCTCCCTATGAATCTTTACCATGTTCCCAAACTTGCAGTGGTACTGAGCACGTTACGCCGGTGACATCATCCCCTTGAATCCTAGACAGTGTAGAATTCTCCCAAGCTGGAAAACCTTATCACGAATTTGGCCATTGCCAAGGGAGTGGCGCTGTATGTGCACTTAGCTTGCAGCGGGCCATAATCGAATCCCGGAAGAGGCAGAGTGGAGCTGCACTCGTCACATTAATCATATTGGTCACAAGCTGAGGTCACCGAGGTTTCTGCAGAGGAGGAGTTGAAAGGGGCAGAATGTGAGAGGGCTCAGTGGCACTGAACCTGTTACGCAAGTGACCAAACCCCCTTGAAACCTAAACAGGCGAAACCCCTGGACTTGTGTATGCCTAGTCTGCTCTGTGCCTGCAAGCAAATGTGATCAAATCCTGTCAGAAGCAGAGCAAAGCTGTACCCGTCAAGAGTGCATCTGTTTATTCATATTTTTCATGTACTTGCATCTTGCAAAATTTCGTTTTTGTATGCTTACGTCAATTCAAACAAATATAGCTATACCTTTGTGATACGAATGTTCTTTTTCTTCTTTTCCAGGCCATCAAGGCTCTGTCCAAGAACAACCGTACCAGCTGCCTGTGGAAATCGATCCTCTGATAGGTCTGTCACTTGTCTCTCTTCCTTTGCGATTCATTACACTCTGTGCGGTGGCCCTGAGGTGTAGATTACTGTTGTTTTTCACTTGCACATTCCCCGAATGGAATTTCCTTCATAAACCATTTGCATGCAAATTGGAATGCAATGAGCTGTGGCTATGCTGGTATTTCATCAACTCCCCCTCGTTGGGCTGCCTAATTTGAACAGGGATAGGACGTGTGTCAGTGAAAATTAATATGGATGCTGTAATAATGTGTGATTGAGAATGCGCATGAAGTACTGTCAGGACAATACAGGCTCCTTTCATCACTCAGACTTGTTGATGAGCAGAAGAAGGGTGCTGCGGTGATGAATTGGTACTTCTCTAATGTAGTGGCTCCAGCACTGGCGAGGATTTTCATAATAACAGCGGGGTTCCTAGCAGTTGTGCGAGGTGAAAAATAAAGCACGTGCTCCCAGAATTTCATCATTAAGGACATCAGCTTTTCTCCCTTTATGGGCCTGCTGTTCAGACAAAGAGCTTAAAAGTGTAATTACACATCTCTCCAGCAAGATAAAATATGATGGTCTCCTTGTGATGCTGAAGCAACAACTTTTTATTTCAAATGGCGTTTCTTTTTTAGGACGGATGGTCGGTTTGTTTTCATCACTGGAAATAACAGATTGTTTTACTGTTTGGTTATTTTGCACATTCATGGAAATGAGATGCAGCTTTTTAATGAGTCATCCCAGCTTCAGTCTGCCTTTGAAAAAAATAGAATCAGAATGATTCTTGGTGCAATGTACTGTACTTAATTATAAGCTCAAGAAATCTATGTAAAAATGTTAGAAGAGCATTTGTTTTTACACTAAGCATTAGAAAATGTTGGCTTATCTGATTTTTTCAGATTCTTTTTCTTATTTTTTTTAATGTGTAATTTGGTTTCAGACCATGTAAGCATGATACACATTAAAATATGCAGAAGTATCTAATAATATTAATTCAAAGACCAATACTGGAAAACCTGAGACTGGGACAATTATTTCATGTTATCATATTTCCTTTATTTATTTGGTTTTGCAAACGAATAGCAAAAACCAAGCAAAATTCATAAAAAAAAAATGTTTCTTGTCACTATGGCTTTTTATAATTTAGTGGAATGTAAAAACAGTGGACAATAAATGGCCAATGTGCAAACCAATACAGGTAGATACCGTAGGTCAAAGTGCTTGTAAGGTCTATATCAGCCCATTCGCATAAGGATTAATAACTGTATTAACATTTCACAAGATAAGCTTCTGAACCAGTGCTGCCTTCTTGAGATGGTGAATCTTTTCCTCACATTTTGTAGCACCTATTTTTTAGAGAAACTGCATTTCGGGAAAAAGATTTTTTTTAAAGAAGCATGCTCTATCCAACTAAATGGTACATGTTTAGCATTTATAAACGTGCAGTAAGGTATTCTGAATCACTATGTGTGGTGGATACTTGTGACAGGATGTAAGTGATCAGCTGCAGCCTGGCTCTTTCCAGTCTGCTGACATGCATCCCTCTATGTGTGTCTGCAGCCAGCAATGTGGGCACCCACCGCCGACAGATCACTGACCTCCTGGACCAAAGCATTCAGATCCATTCCCAGTGTTTTGTGATCACAGCCGACAACCGCTTCATCCTGGTCTGCGGCTTCTGGGACAAGAGCTTCCGCGTCTATTCCACCGACTCAGGTAATTGCATGGCTCAGCTCCCTGTACAGCAGGAGGAGACGCTAGAGTGTGGGGTCAAGGTCACAAATGAGGCTGCGTGGGTTACAACTTCATCCTCTGATTTCATTTCCAAACTGCTTGTACCTGCCTGGAGATTTGCATAAGCTCCGAATTCAATTTAAAGGCATAGCATTGTGTTGAGCATGGGGGGAGAAAAATGGGTGTTAAATAAAGCTGGACTCTTTTATTTATTTGAGTGTGTATTTATATTAATAATCTCTAGCAAAAATATAACTTTAATTGTTGCATTTACAACCAACAGCTGTGTTGTGCTCTCATGGAGACTTTGATTCCTCATATTGTTGTGCAGTCTTAACATAATTTAACAGTTAATTACTGTTAGCTCCATTTGTCCTCTGTTTGTTGAGTGAATTGATTGAGTGTCGGCTGTGGATTTGTGAAGGCATTTTCTCATGTGTGTGTTCAGTTCCTTTTTCTGGAAAGTGCTTGCTTGAAATAGTTTGCTCTTATTCAGTGCAGAAAAGGAGTGGAATCCCATTAATACTACTTGTATTAAATGCTGTACTTTTTTATTGCTCCCATCACAGTCTCCAGTTGTGTTAAATAGTGCTCCTTATATATCAGAGTTCTGTTTGCCCTCAGGTCCAGTAGATGCTGTGTTGAAATCTTGTTATACATTGAGATGATTTGGCTACTTGAGAAGCTTTCAGTTCTTTTTCATTGTGTAAATAATATCCCTGGTGTAGTGCATACATTTTCTGCAGAGGTATGAAAACCATGTGGAATACCTCCTTTTTCTGTGGTGTACAAGCTCCGAGTAATGCTAATATTCAAATAAATTTCATCAGTGGTAATGAAACTGGTAATAAAAATATACTCAGCCTGACTCAGGAGGTCACAGTACATATAATTTAATCAGCATTAGGCGCCTGTGTTTCAGTGCAGTTTGAAATCTGACAACAATTACACTTGCATACACATTGTAAGTTTTGAGGGCTTTGAAGAACAAATATTTATACTTCTTTTGAAAATCTGTGAAAATTTCGGCTTTGTTGATATGCCTTGAGGATATGTTAATAGACAGCAGGTTCTTTTCACAATGTATTGAAACAGTTTTACCCTGTCAAATTTGCTTTACAGCGATTTCTTATTAAATGGGCAACTCTTAGACATCAGTGTATCTTCTGAGTCTCAATGCATTTTTTTAATTGGATGTTATGCCTTAGATTAGTTTTATGGTATTTTGCAATATTTTTCATGTGCCTTAAATTACCATGGATAGTTTTATCTTGCTCATTGACAGAGTGTAAACAGCAAACAGCTGAAAACAGTGTTAGTCTAATGCGATTACCATGAAAACAATCATTGCTCTTTTACTTGTAGTCAAAATAGAAAAAACAATAACTTGCATTTATTCCACTTTTCCTGTGTCCTTTGCACTTTCTTTTTACCTTATGTTTGCATTAAATATAGAGTTCCCTTGTGCTGAATGAGAAACTGTCACCTTAAATTGGATTAGGCTCAAAAGGAGGTCAGGCTACATGCAAGTTACTTGGCTAAAATATTTGAATGACAGTTTATGATAGCACTGTTGGTGGGTGCGTCTTAACAGTTGTTGTTGTTACTGGTGTGTTTTCTGGGTCGAAACAGAGCTGAGGTTGCATGGCGTTCATATTCATTTGTTGTGAGGAGAAGTAAAGTCATGAATCAATTACTTCAGCACTGTAGTGAGAGTACCATACCAATCAATTAGTGGCATAAATTGCCATGTGATTGAGTGAAGCTGTGTTGTATTTAAAAATGATGCGTTTTGCCCTTACTGTTTTTGCTAGCTAATACAGAATTGAATACATTGCACTTAAGACAAACGTTAATTTGATTTTTTCTCAGTTTATACAATTTTCTTTTCTATGCAAGGCCTATTAGATGTTCAAACAAGCTTCAGAATGGAAGTAAATATTTCCATTTAAATTCTGCATAAAAGGCAAAATGCTGTTCTTTCCACATCTAAAAGTGCCAGCTATGACAACTGTCCACCTATAAATGTTGTTGCCAGCTGTGTTGATTAGAAAATCCCAGCCAGATTTTATTATTCAAATTATTACAGTCATGCAGTGTAAAGAGATCTTTCTAGAAGGAATACAGCGTTCAATGTGTAACAATAAAACCCTGTGAAGTGAGTAATTGAAATTCACAGGGCATGATGTCATTACATTTTACTGTCCATAGTTAATAATTTGAAATTGAAATGTATTTTTCTAGACGTTTGTTGTGTTCCTTATTTTTGTTATCAATACCTCAGCAAGGTGGGCATCTTTTGTAACAAATGTGGGCGGTTGAACTGGTTCACAAACGAAAGACTATTAGGGATTATTTTGATTTAAGTAACACTAAAAAATGACAAAACCTTGCACTTAATGATTGTATTTTTACTCAATTTAAAGCTTCAGAAAAAGCACACACGAGCTCTGTTACCTGTACCTGAGACAAATGATTGTGAAAATAAACAGCTTTTCCTTAATTATGTAGTCTATAAGACTATAGGTACTATAGGTACTATAAGAAACTAAGTGGGTATTTACTTATTGAGAGTTACATTTAGCAATCTTCATAGAGTTACACATTTAAAGTTACATTTAGCGATCTCCTTAAAACGTACTAAATTTGTAGGTCTAGTGTTACAAAGCCTGCTGTTTTGTTGCGATGCAGTCATACTGTAAATGTTGATAAAGCTTGAGTTGCTTGGCTATGACTGCCACATTGTTTTTGAAGAAAAATACCATAGTAAATAGAAAAAAAGTGTTATAGTTCTGTTACAATAATGGCTTGCAGAGCTTTCAAATTTTTTTTAATTAAAAACATGAAACACTTCTGCATATTATGCAGTTACACAGAAGCTTTTATATTTGTAGTCTTATTATGGTTGTCAAGATTTCAGTATCCCTTCGGGTCACACGTTTCCATTGCATTGCAGGTAAACTGACTCAGATCGTCTTCGGGCATCGTGATGTGGTAACGTGTTTAGCGAGGTCTGAATCCTACATCGGTGGAGACTGCTATGTCCTGTCAGGGTCCAGAGACGCCACCCTTCTGCTCTGGTATTGGAATGGCAAGAATAGCAGCATCGGAGAGAACCCAGGCAGTGAGTACAGCTCCTTTTTCCCACCTCGCCAGCTAGATATGCAGACTCTATCCATTTAGTAGCTCTGGACTCCTTTTCACAAGTCCAAATCACCACTTTTCTTTGCACAAAATGTACGTTTTTTGTGCGCGCACACATACAGACACACAAGCAGGCTGGGCTTCAGGAATGTTCCGCAGTTAGTTGGATTTGCCTTTGCGTTTAAGCTGTGTGACATTTATTTTTCAAATGCCAGCGCATTAAGGCGAAAAGCCACTAAGAGACAGTAAGTGTGCCCTGGGTTCTGAGACAGATGAAAGTTCACCATCAGTGATGGTATTTTATCTGTAAACAGAGCAGTGGGCTTAATAAAACTGAAACATGTTCAGGTCTGCCCTTACTTACCATAACATATGGCTGCAAACGTGATCAAAGAACAGCAGACGTACTGTTGCAGTGTGCTTCTCCTTGTTAATATGGCTTAGACACACTACAAGATACTAAGCGTTTATTTAACAAATTTACTACAATTAATGACAAATTGTGATTTTTTTTGTTCTTACACACCAGTGTTTAATTAAATGGCTTTTTTCACCTTTCTAAACTATAGTCTAAAGTTAAATTGATTGCTGTTTACTTACTTGTAATGCAACCATAAATGTTCAAACTTAAGTCCTTAGGCATAAGGAAAAAGTAGATGCAATATATACCATACTGTTTTGCTTCGGTTTTTTTTCTTAAAAAGCTAGGTTTTTTTTAAAGGCTTCTGGTCCTGAATTTGTTTAAAGCCATGCATTATAAATTACTTCAGATTATTTATTTTATTTACTTGTATTACTTGCCGTTATTTTTACATGATCTATAAAACATATAGGACAGTGCATTTAAATTTATGAACCACAAAAATATCAATTTAATTTGTCTTGTAATATACATGTAGGCATATGTTGCAAATAGGAAAGTATGCAGATGTGTTGGTTTGAGCATTTAGCAGAAGCTGACAGTTTCAGACTGCTCGTTCTAAACATGTCAATGTATTGAAGAGTAAAAATTTTCCTTGCTACTGTATAGAGGTTTAAATTAAAAGTATCTGTGCAAGATACTATTTTAATATTCTTATTTTCAAAACTAGAACATGCGTATAAGTTTCCTAGTGCTGAGATTGCTGTAATTCTTTTTTCAACCCTTTCTTCAAGAAAATACATTTTAAAACATTTGGCTTTCTCATACACTTTTATCAGTATCATGCAGTGTTTTACTCTTAGGTGAAAGCATTTGTTTTGCATCGTTCTAGGACTTCATTTTTATTTGTAACAATACATCTGATATTTAAGAAAGCTTGTTATTAAATCTATTAGATGCACAAAGATGAAAAATATATTTTTAAAAACAGGCAAATTCAGCCTTTAATTCAGTTATGTTACACTTACTGACATTTTAAATAATGTGGAGAGTACTTATTACATTAGTTTGTTTCTATATAAGCAAAGAACAGTGATCGTTTTTATTATTGTTATTATTAGTAGTTACAGGATTATGGTGGTTAACGTTAGTTTCATGCATATCCTTAAATTATTAACCTTTTTCAAAGCTGTTGTAATAAAACCAAACTAAACACTAAGTAAAATTTTAGCTATAACAAATATTTATTTTTTATTAATTTGTTTGGAACAGATTTAAATATTTTGTTAAGACATTAGTACCATACAATTATGAATATAAGACAAAGATGGAATTTAAGAAGTCTGTTTTGTCACAATGCACTTAGTACGCTATAATTAACAATTACATACTATGTATAATGAGCGTGATAATAATTACTATGCACCTGTATTTGAGGTTTCCAGTAAAAAAGAAAGATATATTTTTACAATATTTTCATCAAGCTAATAATGATATTAGCTTGTTTTAGTAATATCTATAAAAATGTATTGATGCAGCTTTTATATTACAAAGATTGAACAAAATAACGTTAACTTACCCTCAAGATTTCTTTCCTACTGTCATTAAAAAAGTAGCTAAATTCAATCACCCCTTTAAAGACACATAAACAGCACTGACATCATGTGGGTGAACTAAATGGCTTATTTTCTTCAAAATTTAGGTCACGCAATCAGATCTCACAGACAGTGAGCTTGTACGTGTGCCTTGCTCTGAGCTCGGTTGTTGATTCAGAAGGAAAAGGCAGAGCTTGTAGTGGAATTCTAATCACACCAGTTCAGTGGAACAGCAGAACAAAGTGATGCGCCATTGCCATAAACCGCAGGGAGGTCTGTAAGCCATAGGACTTACAAACACAGTTCTGCTTCCTTTCTTCGTTTTCCAAATACAGTACTGTAAAGTGGCCCCTTTCCACGTTTGCATAATGCATTTGTAACGTCCCACGCACTTAATAAGCCTTAAACAGATGACTTCCTTGGTCCATTCTCCGGGAGACAGGAGAGCTTCTGATGAAGTTTATATTAGGAATTGTTTTTGTTGCGTGCTGACATTGATTAGAATTGTTCTCCTCTCCCACATCCTACTAAACTCTGTCAGGTATCCCTCATTTCCCCGGCCTACATAAACATTCAGCTGCAAACCAGGGGTGTGCTGTGGTGAGGGTGCTAGGCAAGGGGAGACAGATGTAGAAATGCAGGGTGAAAGACACTAATACCGAATTAAAACAGACTGGACTGCCATCTTGTGGTAAGAATGGGCAGTGCATGATCATTATTACTGTACTATCTTAATGTAATGTAGTGTCAATAATTTAAAAGATATAAGAAAACAGTTTTTTGTTATGCATTGCCAGAGTACTCTATATGTAGTCAATAATATATACAACTTTACGTTAAAAAGTGTTCATCAACGTGTTTTTAACTTTACGTTAAAAACTGTTTATCAAAATATATTTAATCTACTTTGATGGAATAAGTTTTATTAACTTTTAAAGTAACTTTAATGTTTTGTATAAAACACAGTCAGAGAGAATAAGATCATTTCAGTTTAATAATTGTCTACTAAGCACATTCATGATTTTGTAAATGTTATAGATTGTGTATCCCTAGTTGTTATAGCTTAAGTTTTTTTTACTAGAATCAAAATTGGACCAGTTTTTTGGTCAATGTGATAATTATTTCAAGACATTGATTAGTTGCCTCTTTGTGGGGAAAAAAATCAAAACAAATGTTTTATTTAGTAAAAACGATTTAAAGGTAGTCAAACAGTCAAACAGAATGAGCTGTCCGACGTATAAAGACTCGTGTTTCAGGTGAATGATACTCTTCACAGATTTGGGATGTATATATATACTATATTAAATTGTAATCAGATGTTAGCTTAATGTAAACCAAATGTTCACCAATGGGCAAAGTTAAATGATACATCAATATATCAATTTTATTAATCTTTTGTTGTAGAAATCTGATTATGAGCTTTAATCCCAAAAATTGTAAAACATAAATAAAATTTTAAATGTAAAAGATACATTATAGAGTTTTTTAAAGCAGTTTTTTTTAATTAAAGCACTTTTTTATTAATTTCATACAAGCTGTGGCTGCCTGGCCTTATTTGTAAGTTAATAGTCTTGTCAGAGTTTTTTAGTGGGTTTGCCTTTGCCTGTCTCCATCAGGACAGGAGAATAATTTGTGAATTTGAGTCTTAAGCAGTAACACTAAAAAGCTAAGATAAGGGTCAAGTAAGTAAAATAATTCCCTTATGAATTTTAGCTCCTATACCCCTCAGAAATGGGACATTCTGTCAGAGACAAAATGCACTTATGCATGATTACCTTATAGCTAACATGACCAAAGAGAGACAGACTTCAATGGCACACATTCTGACTGGTTGTTGATTCCCAGTTTATTCAAATTAGAAGTTGCAAGTGGCTGTCTGCCTTGGAAAGTGATCACACATAAAAAAGAGTGATTTGCTTTAAACTCATGGCTTTTAAATCCCTTACCTTATGATCACTTCACTTAGTCATGTTTCTGAATTAAAATGTTTCTGAGGAGAGAACATTTTTATCCTTCAATGGTCTTTAAGGTAAATAAACCATAGATATTTTAGTTAAACTATTAATGATACTGTTCCATATTAATTTTATTTTCCCTTATTGTAGAAAGTTATGATATGCAATTGTACAGATTTTCTTTTTTGTTTTGCTGTCTTAAGAATGTATATACAACAGTAATCAATTTTTAAAATGATTGAGAATTAGCATAATATATAACATTACATACTGTAAATCTTTTAATTAGGTTTTCCAGTTTCTATTCCTCTCCTACATTATGTCTTGTTTTACTGGTATTTTGCTCCAGAATCAATAAGTGGCTAACTCTGGGCCTGTTTCAAACATTTCTGGCTACATTCAGAGTTTCTCTTCATTTTAACAAGGCCCCTGGTGATCAGCTAGGTTCTGCGATAAACGCTTTCTGATAATGAACTTCTAATGAACTCATTGCTGGACCCGAGAAAGTTGTTTCACTGCAACCTTTTCCTCAGATCAAAGCGGCAGAGTTTCAGAGGGAAATCCCTGTTAAACAAGACAATTATCAGTTGACTGGCTTCTACTAGTTGTTGGAAAACAGAACAGAAGTTTTATAATTCCAAAGTTACCTTAAGAAAGAGCTCCTGATGGTCCTGGAACGTTTTTCATTCAGTCAATCTCCAGATGATGAGCGATGGCTTTTTTCAAAATGTTTTTTGTTTTTATTTAGTTTTTCAGTGCCGTCTAGGGTTAAGACGATTGAGACATTGAATTGAATGAAGTGATCATAGACAGGTTTTTAAACTGAGTCTGTGGCTGACCATTTCACCTTGTGTATCAGAGGGTTATGAGCAGTTTTCACATACAGTATATTGTACTTTACTCGCAGAACTTTTTCATAAAAATTACCATTCATTATCTATGACACATTTTGAAAGCTTGACAGTATTTAAAAGTTTTTGTTCTTTGTCCAGAAATAACAGCGCAAACATCAGAAACTCCACTCTCTGGAACAGACACACTAACCTGCTTAGTGATGACATCAGTTCACTTATTATTAGGATGTGTTGTACTGATGTACAGTATAAAATATCACAGCTGCAATGAGAGGTTCTCTTTTTTCCTGTTAAGTTCAATAGATTGGAAAGGTTGAGCTTTTAAAAAGCAAATTATCTTAAATGAATAAATGAAGATAAGTTGCTTTTAATTTCCTTTGTATCTGTTTAATGGAAATGTTACAGTGTCTAATAGGCGTCAGTGCTGCTAGTGCGTTAGACAAATGAAATCACCACCTTGAAACTGAGACAAACAAATATGTGAATGTTTGTAACATACAGTAAATCCAGCTCCAGTTTTCATTCAGGTATCCATCAATTTACGAACAAATGATGTGCAGATATAGTTAGGGGCATAGCATACTGTTGGTCCAAGCACCCTACATCCGTGATCAACACCAAATCCTACACTTTTTATACATATTTTGTGAAATATGAACTTGTTTTTGCTATAACGAGCATTTCTTCCATCACAACTCCTCCTACTTACTGAAATCAGTTTTCTGGTGTCTTTAATCTTAACATTTAATAAAGAAAGCTGTATACTCTTAAGTTATACTTTATTTTGTGCAGTAATAAGTAAGGTTTTATTAACTGAAACTAACATATATGGCTTCTTTAGTAAAGTTGTATTAAATAGCATTACTGTACAATATAAAGTATTTAATATATGGAAAGCAGTCTTGTAGAGTAACTCAGCTTTAATGTTCAGTAATTAACATAAAAATTAATATTGTTGTCATTGTAAGGCTTTTCTTCTATGCAAAGTCAATTCTGTAAATTATGGCATGATTTCTCTGGGATTCTGGAACCAATCACAGGGATTTACATATCATGTCATGGGAATTATTTTTTTTATTGTGTTCTTGGAGTGAATTACATTTGTAAATTAAGGAATGCCTGTAAAGATTTTTATGGGGTTAAACACAAATGTAAACTTACTAAGACTTTTATAACTTTTATTAAAACGTTTTATTTCAAAAGACTTTCAAAAGTTTTATTAAAAGTTCAGATGCGGAACATTTTTTTAAACATTTTATTTCCCAGCATATACTGTATAGTATATATGTAAACATCAGTTCTACATGTTTGTTGCATATAACGGCCAAAAATGTGTTACATAAATATAAATGCATATTGTAAAGCAAGCTGTATTCAGTAAAATTTTCTGATGAACAGAATATAGTAAAAGATTCCCTTTTCTAGTCAATAAAAAGTAGTTGGTCACGATCCAAGAATGTGAAGTTTATATCCTTGAAACTGCAGAAATCCACCTTTAAACGTATTCACAAAAACACTTCTTCATTTTATACTCTTGCACCTTTTGATAAAATTATCATTCATCTATTCACCCCTTATCTGATTTCTACATGCATTTCCATCATCCATTTTCTAATCTCTTCATTCAGTTCAGGGTCACCCTGGACGGGACACCAGTCCATCACAGACATAAACATGCAACTGTTCTCCTAGAAGCCCATTAACCCATCAGTATGTCTTTGGACTGTGGGAGGAAACCGACCCGAACACAGGAAGAGCATACAAACCGGCTAACATACAAACTAACAAAGATAGCACCCCAGGGCAGACCTGAACCCCAGCACCACAAAGCAGCAGTGCCAACAACTGCGCCAAGTGCCTCCGTCAAGTATATATCTATTTGCAATTGTTATAACATGCAAAATGTCCATTATTTTATGTAAATTAAATGCTGAAGAGTAGCATAGTCAATATGCTATAAACTTGTGTAACTACGTCAACAATGGATGTGCAAATAGACCCCAAAGTTGATTAGTTAGTCCTCCTACTTTTTAATTCACTGCTATATACTGTAAGTACTGTATGTAAACATTACCTATTGGACATAAAGTTTCCTTATGCAAAAATGTTTGTGGGAATTTTTAAATTCAGTATCTGAAAGCATGCATGTTGCATGTAAAAGAACATCATATATTTTAAGAAATATGTTTGCCTCTAGTTAAAGCAATGAAATTCAAGTTTCAGGTTTTTGACAGGTCTTCCAAAACAAGTGATTCATGGTCTGTGTCTGTGAAAACCGCTAGGTCTTGAGTCTCAGCTAAACACTGCATTTTTCCAAAATTACCTTCACAATGTCTTGCATCTGGTTTTATTTTGGGGTTTGGGGGGGTTGGGCATGTATTGGTGGGGGGGTTGCTGTTAGTGACAAGTGCTACAGAAGGAATGTAGTCATGGGAATCAGAAGTGTGTTCTGTATGTGAGCACTGGAGCTGTGAGCCAGCACTACAAATTGCTCAGATTGTATCAGTCAGTGGGTTAAAAGCATGCCAAGAAAACAGGCCACACTGTCCAGTTTTGGGCAGAAGTGTTCAATTTTTGTGCAATAAGCTGAGTTATAAGTTAGAATCTTGAGGGTACATCTTCTTGCACCCCAAACCTGCTGACACTCAAATTCATAGGCATCATGCCCCACTGTGAGGAATGGCATCTGTCAAGCCAAGTCATAATCATTTTCTTGACGGAAAAACCCAAATTCGCTTTGTATAAAAACTTGATCTACTACTACAGCCTTCAGAAGCTACTTGTAGTTAAAGATCAGTCCCCTCTTCATGTACAGTATACAGTATGCATAACATGAAGAAAAGAAAAATTAGTAAAATCGGGAGAAAAAAAGAGCACTCTGCCTGACTACTGAGAATTGTAGGATAAAACTGGAAATCAGGCCTCATCCGGAATGTGAACTACAGGTTTAACTTGAGTTATTTATATATTTATAAACAATGCAAGAAAGATATAGCATCAGTGTCTTAAAACATTTTTCATGCAAAGTTGCAAGTCCAGGGTTAAATATATTCTTTTGCGTATTGTTTGGTTTCCCTATTGTTTTGGATTCTAGACTGCAAATACATGTTTTACTAGTTTAATATCACCAGTTTAAAATCCCTAAACACAAAGTCTTGGTTGGCTTTTACAGTATGTGGAAAATTCCTTATTTTAAGGCACACTTGAGTGTTGGGATCCCCCTGGTGGCTGCCTAGTGATAGCCACATGAAAGCATAGACAGTTGTCTTGCAGCAATGTGTCATTAATTCAACTGTTCGGTAAAGCTGACAGTTTCTGATATGAATATTGAGTTTAGTGGTGAGTATCTGGCCTCACTGTGTGAATGTTTTTCTTTCTTCCAGCAGAGTTTGTCACTCCTAGAGCCATACTGACAGGACATGACTGCGAGATCACCTGTGCCACAGTGTGTGCAGAGCTAGGCCTCGTCATCAGTGGCTCCAAAGGTAAATCTGGGATGGTGTTTTTACTCCCAAGTGTCTTAGAGAAAGCTTAGATCCTTTTTCAAGCAGTTTTAATAGACATTAAATGTGATGAAGCAAATGCTTTGATTGGCCATCTTTTCACAGAAGGGGTTTAATTGTTAACCTTGCTTTCTGCCGGTATATAATATTGAATATTTGTGTAATTTGAATTCCCAAATTATTGAATAATAATGATAGCTTTAGGTTTGGGCATTCAGGTTGTTTGTGTGTTTGACTGTGGCCACTCTCATGATTACATTTTGTAACAAGGCCTAAAATAAAATAGATTTTTAACAAAGCGGTAATTTGAGTGATATCTTCATGGCAAAGCTTTATCTCTATTATTAATGAGAATATATAATGTGTGACTTAAGTAAGCATGCATTATCCTTGAAACCAACTGGCCAAAATTTACCTGCTACTGTTGTTAAAACTCCCAGGGATAACTTAATCAAAAATCACATTTATTCCTGCCGTCAGTACCATAAAAGTTATTCAATATCGTAGCATTTGACATTTTTCAGCTTGGGGAACTTTATTTTCTGTTCTGTATTTTTAAATACTTTAATAAAACCAAGTTTCCCCACAATGTGGAAGCCCCAGTTTCTTACTACTGTCGTCCTTTCCTTCCTTGTTCACAGAGGGCCCTTGCCTGATACATTCCATGAATGGCGATCTCTTGCGAACGCTGGAGGGCCCCACAAGCTGCATGCGGCCCAGGCTCCTGCAGGCGTCCACAGAAGGGCACTGTGTGGTGTATTATGACAAAGGACACTTCTGTGTCTTCAGCGTGAATGGGAAGCTGCTGGGCCACATGGAAGTGGAAGAAAACATAAAGGTGGTCATTCTATTGCTATTAGGAAAAAAAGAAACAGACAATTGTACCTCTTCATTGTGGAGACAGATAAAAATGACAAACTCTTGCCCCTTTTCAGTGGCTTACAAGCTTGTTACTTATTATTTTGAGTTTGAATTGTTCTTTATAAGAAGGTCTGTGTTCTCCCTGGCCAGTGCATTTCACTAAAAATGTAACATGAATCTGTTTTGTTCATGCTCATTTGTTTGTCTTTTTTCTAACATTGATTTTTTCCCCTTATTTATTTTTAGTGGAACTATGTTTTTCTTTCTTGTTCAGAGAGCAAAGTAGTAAGACTATAGTTGTGGGACCAGATAGATACATTCTTTACATACGCTAAAGAGAGAAAAAATGTATTCCCTCTAAAATCTCATTTGTGAACATTTGGCCTTTGAGCTTCTGAACAGATTTATTCTGGCTTTAGTTATCTGTCAAATATAGAACAATCCCTGTGGTATTTTCTGTCTTTCCTGAAGGACTTGGCACATGTTGCCTAAGGCAGCAGGCACTGTTTTCAAGCTGACCCACAGCAAACGCACAGACATGCCTTTAAACAGCAGCCGTCCTATTGGACTTGCATCTGAAATAGTCTGGAGGGATTTTTTTTGCCTTTTTTTCCCAGAGCCTCTGTGCTTCATCATTCTGGCCGGCAGTGGTGTGATTAAAGCCTGGCATTTAGATTGAAGTCTGCCTGCCCAAAGGCACTTGGAGATACCTCAGCACTGGTGGAAAAAGGAACTTGTAGGTCAGAAAGGAACTCCTCTGGGTCCAGGCTAGTTGGAGTGAAAGCTCTTTGATTTGCGTTTCTAATGTCAGGGAACATTGCGAAATTGCAGGATGTTGACATTGGTTACCATTTACAATCATCAAGCACAGGAGGACAGCTTTCTTATTCATCCAGAATAGTGCTAGAAAATTACAGAGAGACTTCCGGTCTGCCTGGGAAAAAGCCAGGACCTAATCAGAGTTGCACACCTGCTTTTTATTTTGAAAGCTGTGCTGTCTGTGAGACCTTGTGCTCCCTCATGTTACATAAAATGTTTGATTCCTGGTTAAAGAGGAATTTTATGAGGAGAGTGGGTTGTTTTCTGTAAGCATGGCCTCTATGATACAGGCTGAGGGCGGAGGGACGTTGCTTTGACTGACAGAAAAAAGTGGAAGTGACTTGACATTTAATTGTGATCTCTTCCTTCCATAAAGACTGCAAATCAGGTAATATAGACTTCCTTGCAGTACTGATGATTTTTTCCTTGTTTTATGTTTTTAAACATATGCAGTGATATCTTTAGATCAAGTATAAAGCAGTCTAAATCTTCCAATACTAAAAATGAAACATCTTCTTTAAAAATTGTATTGTGTCAACACATAAGTAAAAAAAAAAGATGTTTTGTTCTACATAGAATGTAAAATGACAAAAGTGAATATATACTCATGGCCAGAAGACTCAGGGATCAGTGGAGGATAGCCCTCAGCTGCTCAGCAGTGTGCATGTCCTGTTTCTGGCCTAGCCATGGCAGCTGCTGCCTTTAGTTTCTTTTCTTCTTTATATATTTAAGAAGCTCTTCTTTCAAAAAAAAAAAAGTAGAACATAAGATTGCAAACAAGAGCATGCCTTTTGTCCTACAGTATCTTGCCAGTTTGGTTGTTAGTAACTTAATTGTCCAAGAATTTATAAAGCTGGTCCTTCAAAGGGCTGTGCTCAGAGGCTAGCCCCATTGTGCATGAACAGATACAATCCTGAATGTAATGCCTAACGTGTTAACTTCAAAAGTATTGAAGCCATTCATATTTTCCATTGCATTGTGTTGGAAACATGCAGGTCTATTTTCTTATGTCAAATCAGTGCATAGGTTTGTACATGTGCATTAAAGACTCTGCTTAAAGGAGAAGTTTATGTAAAAAAAGCTTCCTCATGCAGAGGAGGAGATTAATTTGGAAACTTGGAGACATGCTGAGTGGATTACATAGTGCAAAAGTATTCATATGAAAGTAACCGTTTTTACAGATTTTGTGTATGTAATGGATTGTATTAATGACTCCATAAATTAGGCCTTCACCTCTGCCAGACATCATAACAGCAAAAAAAAGACTATACATAAAAAAACGGAATAAGAACCTTATGTGGTTCTATCTGGCATTCTGCTCAAGTATGACATTGCTTAATATCAGAGCTGGCTTTTTGATATTTGACTCGGCAAGGCCATATTGGACACTTTGGAGAGGTGGTTTTTCCAGAACTTGCAGCCTTGTTAGGCAGTCCCAGAGAAACACTGTGATTTATATGCCTGGCCCTCCCACCTGGGCTATCCCAGTACTGTGCCAGGTTTCCAGATTCCCACTGAGCTCTGTGGGGCTTTGCTGTGGTGTTTTATAGTGTGAACACTGTCTTACTGGAGAGTCTACACTCTCAAGATACAGTCACTCAGGCCTTCTCACCAATACAAAAATATCATTAATCAGAGAATGCGTAGTGTGTGTCTGCTTTTAACGTCAAGAACCTGCAAATATCAAAACCTTTTTACAATATGTTTACATGTTGTACAGTATGTGTGTTAATATATGTGAAGCATTATATGTTCCACATCACATGTGATAATACAGACAATACAACCAAACAGTTTAGTTTGGGTGGGAAAAAAAAACAGGCTTGTGATTTAACAATCTTTAGTTCACATCGATCGGGAGGTCTAACAGGATTGTTAGCATACAGTATGGCAAAATAAATGGCTACAATTTCAGCAGAAGATTATTGGGCTAAGTTTTGCCTGAAACATTGAATCAAAGCAGTGTAAAATGTTAAACACATTTGCCTCACTATGTATATGACCATAAACAAACATCTCTGTTTTAAAAACATTAAAACAGAATCTTTTAAAAAATATTTAAAAACCCTGGGGTGACAAATTTTATTTTGTATTACTCAACATTTTTGATCCTCTTGACCCTAGACAGAAAATTACTGAACTAAAACCCCAAGGTTAATGAAGTTCTACAATTATCAAGCACGGCAGATTCATTTTGACACCTGAACTAATTGGATGTCTTAATACACTCATGTTAGAGAACTGATGAGTTCCATGATTTATTTCAACTTCCAATTCAGTTTTAAGCAGGAAAAGGACAATATGTGCCTTTAACTGGCTTGGCTTAAATTGTGTATATAATTGTATTGTATTGTACAGTACCAATTAATTTTGTACAGGATGCTGTGCAAATCCATTTACTGTATGCATCATTTGTCATCTGTTGACCATCATATTTGCCTAGAAGGTGATCTTCAGCTTACTCTTTGAATTTTTAAGTTAATAAGGTTTTGTACAGATAGGCCATAAATACTTCTTAAGCCAATTTTTTTACAGTACAAAAATGTGGTAAAGGACACTTAAAAATAACAAAAGCTAATTATAAAAGTGCATTTATACTAATAATATGGCCAAACATTACAGTGGAAAAATATCAGTCTGGTAAAGAGGATTTGAAAGCAGAAAGCTACTCGACATGCATAGATGTAAGATTTTCTAAATTGTAGTCAAACACTTGAAGTGAAACAGTGCATTTCCAAACCATGCTCTTACTGACAAGGGCATTATATCTAACTACAAGGATATTTGATACAAACAAAATCAACCTATTCATTGTTGCTTTGCTTCACTAGTGTTCTATACCAGGCTTAGGAGAGGACCATAGATCTGTCCTCAGTAAAACAGTATTTGATTTTCTGAAGAGTCTGGGCAACTGTGTGTATTATTTACTTTTGATTTGTAAAAAGCTTTGGTTCATTTGATTTGATTCTGAAAGTAAAGGCAACATTTTCAAGTGCGCTTTAGCAGAACCTGCTATATATTGAGTTGTAGTTTATTGTGCGTGCTATTTTTGTTGTATTGTTACAACGAAAAAATAATTCTTCAATTTATAGCTGAACTGACACCTACTGTACAAATGGTATGGGTGAAAGGTCAAAATCAAGTACACAATTAGAATATTTTGTACACATTTGTCAATTATTTTGTAACTTATAACATTAACTTAGTTTTTACTTTTAGAAAACTAAGGTGTATTGTAAGGACTTTCTTTTGTGTGGAGTTATAGGAAATAAATCCTTTTTAAATTCAGTAATATAAAAACAAAATCAGCATTTAGCCACAGGGGCATAGAAGCATTAATGGAAAAAGAGGACAGGGAGTGGGTTGATGAAACATTTTTAAAAATAATTTAATTTGCAAACCTTCAAGCATTATACCCGTGAAACTTGTAATAAAACATGATAAGCACATTTTAGATTGCTGGGCATTCTAAGAAGAAGCAAATTAACATACGTCCTTTGAGTAGTCTCCAACCCTAGTACTCAAGAGCCCCAATCCAGCTAGTCCTACAGGTCACCTGTTTCTTAAAATTGGGAACACCTGTAAATTATTCATCATGTAATCTGTTTAATTAAGAGAACTGTGGAGGTTGCCATTGGAATTTACAGGTGTTCTCAATCAATGTTCTTGTTCTCTTACGATCTCTAGATTACTTAATGTTACAAATGGCCTGCTTAATTGATCACAGTGAAATTGTTCCAAGTCTTTGTGAATTTATGATTAAATGGTGACCAGTGAAAACAGCTGGGCTGGGGTTCCCCAGGAACAGGGCTGGAAACACCTGCTTTAAATTAGATGGTGTTTTACTACAGTATTCTGTGTGCTGCAAAAATATAAATATACACATTTGAGCAAGCTTATAGAATAATTCATTGTGATGTCACAAATAACTTTAAATACCATTGGGTTCATTCACATCTTAAAGTGCTGCAAATCTATCCAAGAACTATTAATCGTGAGCTGTTTTCCCATTTATAAGAGTAGCACAGTACCTAGCACTTGCATACTTGTTAAATGTGCAAGGAAAGCTGTGGCCAAAGTTTTAAATCTATATGCAGCGTGTATGTTATCATATACACTATATTGCATTACACTGGTTTCTCTAGGGCGCCTTAAAATTTAATACAGGCTTTATGGCACCGAGAAAACCAGATGACCAGGATAAATCTCCACTCTGGTGTTTCTCAGTAGGAAACCCCATTGTTGCATTTCAAGAGGTCCACTCCTTGGCTGAGATCACTCTACATGCTGACTTGTCCTTCAGTCAAAAAAAAAAGGTTCAGCCCTTTTTGGCAGATGACAAAATGTTGTAAAGCCTTTTGCCTTCCAGGACTTTAGTTTGATAGTTTGAGCCAAGGACTGGAAAGTCTGAATCAAATCCTTCTTTCACCTCTGAGTTGATGGGCATGGAAAGGTGGAATTGTTGCTGAAAGTCTCTGGCCTTATTCTAGATTCTGGTGAATCTAGAACTATGCAGCAGCAGGCAGACTTTTTTAGACTCTAGAACTCATAAAAAATACTGCATGTTTATTTAAATCAGGGTTTCAAAGCATAACATATGTTTATAGAATAGTGAATGGTCTCTTCAAAAGAAAGAGGCAGTGACCCAGTGTATTTTGCAAAGCAAATACTAAATGTTATGTTCTGTACTTTCCCATCTAGTGAATCAAATTCTATGTGCTTCTGAATGGCTACTGTCTTTCAGCAGGTTTTAAACTAATACAATGTTTGAATTAGGCTAAAGAGACATGTATTGTATGTTATTTATTTTATTAGATTTAAGTTCTTCACTATTTCAAGATACTGTATCTATGTATAGCCTATGTGAGTGGCCTGTTTATTGTTAGAGCTTTGAAGGTACTTGCAAGCATAAAAATTAAATTAAACACATTATACCGTGTGGACATATCAATGGATCAATAATTGTAATAAAAAATAAAACATTCTAAATTAGATTAAGGCAGATTTGAATAATGAGCTTGAACCTCTTGCATCATGTCAGTCAAGGTACCATTTAAAAGTTCTGAAGCATTTTAGAGTGGAGTGTGGTTCAGTTCTAGTGCTTTGAATGGTTTGGATTACTTTTCTGTTTGCCATGTCAACTGTATATGTGAAGTTAGTAGTTTTCTGTTCCCCTAGGCTATCCAGCTAAGTCGCGATGGACAGTACCTCCTGTCAGGTGGGGAAGGCGGAGTGCTCACTGTCTGGCAGATTCATGACCTCAAACAACTCTTCACCTACCCAGGCTGTGATGCTGGGATCAGGTCAATGGCCATGTCACATGACCAAAGGTAAGAGATGATGGCACAACTCAAACTAATAGTGCTTGTATGATACATCAGTCCTTACAAAGACCCATTTATTTATTCTGAAATATTTCTTACTTTAAAATATTACTGTTGTGCTTGGAAGCCTGTTCATCTTAGTGACTTGCTTTTTTTCCTCATTTTAAAAGCACATCAGTGCTACAAAAATACAGTAGTAAAAATTGAGAAGTGAAAAAAACAGGAACAGTGACTAGCAATATTTTTAAACCTGTGAAGGACCCATGTTAAGTTCAGGCCCCTGGGAACTAAGACATTGCCTCTACTTGATCACACATTTTGATCAAGCAGACTCAGCATGGTACTTTTCAGTAATGTATTATGATGCTTTTACAGTAAAATAACATCTGATAGGCTCATACTGTACATACACTGGTTTGCTTATTGACTGCTGGCCCCATGTGTCTTTGGATATCGAACATTCTTTCCTGTTCAATATTATTTTTACTTATACTATTATTTTTACTTGAGTATTGTTTCAGTGACTGCAGTTTAGCATCAAAACAATACTCTAAGAATAGGAAATGTGCATATCTTAAATGTCATTATTCACTTCTTTGCTACTCCATGTGAGCACATAATAAAGATATTTTTTCCCTTGTTTGTTCTAGGTGCATAATTACTGGCATGGCATCTGGAAGTATAGTACTGTTTTACAATGATTTTAATAGATGGCACCACGAATATCAGACTAGATACTGAAGGAAAACCTCAAGGATCAGGAGTAGCTCTAAACAATTGCTGTGTGAATAAGTGTGCACATCAATTTGCAATCCTGCCATGTTAATAAAGGCACTACTCTATATACATTTTCCTGAATGTAACTTACAAACTGTCAAAAGAAGCAACCTATTTTTAAATGGTTAATGCTATATTTTGTAGATCCTATTGAATTTCATAATACAAATCTTAGGACTGGGTTCTATAGGTATGAAAAAGTCTATTTTTTAGCTGTAAAAGTCTATTTTGATCTCTGTGTAAGACAAATAAGGGTTTGATTGGTCAATAGTTAATTATATTTGCATTGGTTGTCTTTAGAAATTGCTTATATTTGCTTACTTGGGGAAATGGGTTCAAAATATGTGATATGGAAAAAAAAAACTTGAGTTTGTGTTTGATCACATTTTTCTTAAGCGTTGTGCTACCTTGTCATACTTTACTGCCACTGAAGATGCCTGGATAAGAGCAATATTCTGTTCTGAGATGGTTTTGATAAACTCTCTGTTCATTAAGATATCAGACTAAGCACTGTTAGACTGCCACAAAAAGGCAAATGATAATGGATTTCTTATTTTTACTTATCTTTTTATGCTCAAAAATTTAAAAATTCCTCTTTTTTAAAACAGCATATATATATCTTACATTTGTATGCATGATTTGTACTGCAGATAACAGATGTCAAGTATCAACATAAGTATCGTTACTTCTAAAATAAAAATAGGAGACAAGGCCTAGTACTGTAGCACTAAGAGCTTATGTGGTCATAAAGAATTCAATGGCAGTTAATGGATTCTCTTTTTCAAAAGGGGTATTTTTAAATCTCAAAATTATTTTAGGGGAAAAATTAATAACGTTAAATATTTTGCACAGTAAAATCACATTCTTGTAAATTCAGGTGACTAGTTTATATAAAGGATTAGTCATCCTGTAAACTGAGAGCCGGTCTTGGCATAACAGTATCATCCAGTCGGCACCAGCTCTTCACAGTGTTCAGTGTTACCAGTGTACCACTGAGTTCACAGCCATGGGTCTCCTTGGAAAGATTCAGCATTAGTCTGAATAAGCAAAGACATACTGTATCAGAGGGGAGCCTGTTACCTTTTTTCTGCAATGCTTGTGGTTAAAAACAAATATGCATATATAAAAGTTTGTGAAAGATGTGCATCAACTTTGGTCTGTCTATATCCCATAATGTGTGCATTCATTAATGTTGTCAAAATACAACTGATAAACATTCCATATCAGTTTATTCTTTTTGTAAAATCTTGTTTGACCAGTGTGGGGAAAAAAAACCTGGTTATTAATGCAACTCCAAGACTACTGTATTTTTATGTATCACTGAATATTTTGGTAATTGATTTGGAATGAGGTCTTTTGATGTGTGATGAGTTTAAACAATAAAAAGGATTTGTAACTGAAAAATATCTGTGTATCGTTTTATTTGTTTTTATGAAGTCAGGAATAACTAATAAGCTGTGCATAAAAATGTTTTGTGGGGCCTACAAAATGGAAGGAAATGGAATAATGCCAAACAAAACAAAAAAATCAGACCATAACCTGATGTACTGCAGATCTGGGTAAAAAAAATCCTGTTGTAAAATTATCTGGAACCTCCTCTGTAAGTGCCACTGTTTCTTAGACTGGCTCATTAAAATTAGACACAATCAGTTAATAAGCAGTGTTCACTCCATTCTAAAGAGATTCAACACTGTTCTGCTATAAATTCCCAATCGAGAACAAATTAAAGCAAAAAACAGCTGATTAGTCAGAATGTGCAGTAAGTATTAAATACTGTATAAACAGTGCAGCTGAATTAAAGGCAAAAATGGCTAATACGTTTTTCTAGTAAGACAATGGTAATGTACTGTACACCTGGTTTCATATCAAGTTTAAGCCCGCTTAATGTTTCCATTATAAGATAATTTAAAACCATACATGTGTTGGTGAACTTCTACCGCTGCACCATCGAGAGCATCCTCACCAACCGGATCACCGTGTGGTATGGCACACTTTTTATTTTTCGCGAGAAAGAAAGGCACTGCAGAGAATGGTCAATATGGCCCAGAAGATCATCGGCAGCGGTCTCACCGAGATTAAACAGCTCAATGAGGACCGCTGCCGTGGTAGAATTCTGGCCATCACAGAGGACAGTCACCACCCCGGGCATGAGCTCTTCACCCCACTGCTCTCAGGCAAGAGATATAAGAGCATATGGTCACTTACCACTAGATTCTTCAATAGCTTCTATCCACAAGCATCGAGATTGCCGAACACATTTAGCCATCCCCCTCGGACCACACCTACACCATCACCATCTACCTCTTTATGATTTCTTATCTATGGCACATCTCCAGTTATTGTTTACACGTCTGTATTGTTTACATTCAAACTGTCGACATGTTTACACATTGTCTACTGTTTGTATATTGTCTTGATGCACTACTTGCACTTTGTTTTGTTTTTTTACACTTGTTTTACAATCGACTTTCTGTAAGTAAGAATTCCCTTGTACCAGTACCGGTTACATATGGCAATAAAGTTCAAGTTCAAGTTCAGAATCTGATGTATTCTGTTCTGGAAGTGCCAGAAAGGATCTTCAGTCCTGATATAACCAACAGAGGGAAAAAAATGTTAATAACCTCTTTTTTGTAATATTTTGACATATTTTGGTTAAAATGATTTCCCTTATGTTAACTAAAAATCAGTACTATGATAAACCAGCAGTAAGTTTATACATTATTGACATACTGTATCCCAACATTGTGCAGGGTATTGTTCAACAAAATAAAAATAATAGATTGAGTCTTTCAGGAGAGATTTTTATTGCATGAAGTTCTCAGATTTATTGTCCTAATACATTATAAAAGATTGCAGTAAAACCAACAAAAATAATGTACCCTAAAGAGAAATGAAGATCAGAGCCTATTAGGCTGAGCTCTAAAGTAATCATATTTTTGTTCTTTCACTCATCCACATGTTCTCTAAAGTCAGGATCTCAGGGTGAAATAGGACTTAGGGTTTGCCGAACAGGCCAAACTGCTATATGTACATCTAAAATGAACAACCAAAAAGGACATGACAGGAAGTTGGATTCTGGAAGCTAGACAGGCTATTCCAGATGATTGTTTTGCCTGGTTTCTTATGCTACTGATTTATGTTGGGATGTAGTAGAGAAGGAGACATGCAGCTAACAACAGCCATTCAAGCATAGTGTTAGTTTTAAACCATTTAAAATTCAGAGGCAGAAACTTCTACACAGGAACAAAAAAATAAAATTTAAATACAGCAAAAAAAAAAACCTTTTAAACTCTAGAGCAACCTATTTTTTTAGTTTGTACAAATAAATACCTTTATTCAGCTCATAAATGAGACTTCATCACTTGTTCTTCCTCCGGTCTAAACAATGGTTTCAGACAGGTGTATGCACATTTACAGGGCTTGTACCAACTTTATAGTCTTTCATTCTACTGTGTTGTTTTTTTTCTATTTGCATTTTTTTATGTATGCCTCTATTTTTGTTTGGCGTAAAGCACAAGTTAGCATGAAAGAGCAAGAGTCCAGATCTGACTACTTCTTGAAGTAATGTAAATTATTATTTTAGAACTAAAAATAACTTCAAAGATCTTTCTGACTTATTCAGATTTAAATTGAAATCATGTCATATTTCATATTCCCACAATCTAGCATGTGTATACAGTACATAACAGTTGGTTAAATTATGTACAATTTTGGGGGGAAAAAATAATCTGAAATATCTTAGAAAACCTATATGAAACCATATTAACCCTCCTTTCCACCCGCAGATTATATCTGTGTATATTAGGGTTCTCCCCAGGAATTTTCTTTATCCATGGGACTGAATTTTAACAGCATTCCATTGAACTCAGATCTGCAGTACCATGGTCTACATTAAATAATGTCTGGGCGCAGTAGCAGTACAAAATCATCTTCCAGGTAATTATAAAACATATATATATATAATTTCTTATATTTCATATAAGGAATTACATACAATGTTAAAGGTGCAACTAAATCAACATTTGAACATACTGTATAAAGAATCTGCAGGCTCAGCAGTTTTTGCTCTATCCACTACTGCACGTGCCCTGTATTTTCCAAATTGGTAAATTCACATATACAAATCCAGTCAATTTTTTACAGAATGTGTATACCTTTGTTACTCCTATGTGGAAAGAAGAAGAGATTTTAACTTTTTATCAAGCGAGGTCATCATTCACCAGTGCTGGTTAGCTCAGTATGAGCTACCTAGCTTTGCATTTTTTTTTCCTGATTGCATCTCCATCTTGCTCGTGAATGGCGCCCTCTGGTGAAGAAAAACATTACACACACACACAAAATGCATAAGCTCCCAGATCAAATCAAGTATCCAGTCCAGATCCTGGAGGGCCAGTTTGTTTGCAGGGTTTCATTTCAGCTGGGCTTCTACCACCCTGATTCAGCTCGTTATTGACATACAAGACCAGCTGAACAACTTCTCCCAGATCTTCAAATGCTGCAGCTTTCAAGAGGCCTGACTAACCCGCAGACACACTGGCTCTCCACTGGACTTTGGGACAAACAGGTGCTGCACTTTCCTTGCACAATAAGGGGTGTGTGCTCCCTCTGTGGTCTGCAGACAACACATAAAAGATATAAGTTTTCCCTTCATTTCTTTTCGGGTACTTTTAAAATGTTCTTCTCGCTGTTATTCAACAAAATAATCATTGTTCTTTCAATGGTACTTTTAGATTTACAAGATATAAAGGGAAGGGTTACACATACTTTTCTTGCCACCAGTGCAATCAACTCTACAGTAATGCAAGAGCAGGAGGGACGCAACTGAATAGGCCTGGGGAGAACCCTTTTAATATGTCAAATAGCAAAACACAATATTGAGTCTTGAAAAATAAGATAAAACATTTAAGTTCACTGTGCTAGAGCAAACCATCAGAAGTGGCCAGCTTCAGAAGGAGCAGGTTCACTGTAAAAGAACAATGAGCCTCTACATGCGAGAAGCAGATCAGGAAGAAGAGAAGATGGGGGGTCACTCAGCCCTCTAGCAGCGTGCTTCCTTCAGCTTTCCTGGGGGATCCCCAGTGTCTCAGGGCTCCCCTGCCTCAGCCTCAGCCTCAGCCTCAGGGCCACTCGCCATGCTCATGTGGGTAATAGTGGAGGGAGAGGCCAAGGACTGCTGGGTAGACTCAGTGGGGGCGGTAAGGCAGGCAGCAGAGACGGTGCTGGGAGTCTTGGGGTCCTCGGGCTGGGTGGGTGGAAACTTCTTCCCCGATCTGACCACACCGGCCTCTTGACCGCGCTTGCTGACTAAGATCTGCTTCTCCTTATCTAGAGCCGTGTTCTGAAGAGAGGCACAAGAGAGGGCGGAGAGGGGGAACACAGGAAGCACCAGTCAGTCGCCCGGCAGGTGGAGTGGAGGTGCAAGTTTAAGTAAGAAGAAACAAAACCTCCAGGGTCAATCTACAGTAGAAACAGAGCACATCACCAGTGTCCTTCTCATGTCTAGAAAACCAAGAGGGGTCCTGGAACTGCAAACTGCCACGAGGAAGAAGAGCGTTTGCGGTTGGTCAGCTCGCTGTCTTAATGACCATTCATAAGTGACATCAAGAGTGGGTTATGGGGGGGGGTACTAACGAGATATCAGACTCCTCTTGTCAGAAGTATACAGTGTGTGGGGACATGCAGAGTTAGGATTTGCTCCTGTGAACTGTGCACTGTCATTAACTTTCATACTAAATGAATAAGCCAATGACATGAACACCAACACATGTAGGATGGCTGTACTGTAGCTTTTCTTTCTTTACAGTAGACTGACCCAAAACAAAGCAAATCATATTTTCATTGCTGAGCATGCAATTTTAGGGGAAAATGAGAAACGTCAGTGATATACGGCACAAAAAGAGCTTAGTCTCTTTCACCCCACACCTTCCTAATGCTTCTTTAAATTACTAAAAATTGTTAATGCTGGGAGCAATTTCATATTTCTTTCTGCTTTTTAATGATTTTCTCTGCATGCTAATGATATGTAAGTTTACAAATGCACATGAAAGATGTTTACCTTGAAACTATTCTGACTAGATTTCATATCACATAATATTAAATTAATTTGTCTTTTTGCAATATTAAATCACAATATGAAATGTGAGACTTTGCAATTGACCCATGGTGTCAGGAATGCAATGGCCTTGGCTATAAAGGTGCCACAATTAGAACACAACCATTCATGGGCACCTCCAGTTTCACTACCACACAACACAGCTCACCAAACAGTGGAGAAGGCCGGGTTTATCGCCACAAGAGAATTTAACACTATCTAGGTGAGTAACGTCACCTTCTATAAAACACTTGGTAGCAAATAGGCCCAGACACAAGACTGTTTTACCTGAGAAGATACATTCAAGGTCTGGTATCACAGCATCCAAGTACTCATAGTAGAGAGAACAAAAGCCCAGACTGTTCCCATGTTACTATCCAGGCAACTGTGAGTGACTACCAAGCCATCCTAAAGAATTCAGAAAAAAAAACTGTACAAAAAACATACAGTGGTTAGCCCTGTGGGGCTCTGGGTTCAATTTCTGGAGTTTTATCTCCACAGAGTTTGTATGTTCTTCCTGTGTTTGCATGGGTTTCCTCCAGGTGGCTCTGGTTTCCTCCCACTGTCTAAAGACATACTAGTGGGATAATTGCCTCCTGGAAAAGTTGGCCATGGTGCGTTTGTGTGTGTGTGGCCTTTGATGGACTGGCGTCTCATTGTACCCTGCCTTATGTCCATTCATTCCCGGGAAAGGCTCCAGCTTGACTCCCAAGTGGTTATTGAAAGTGATGTGATAATATACATTGGTCTCTTACTGTCCTCTTAATCCTTTAGAAATTCTGGGCTTGTTTCATGCATATAGTATTCACTTTTTATAACATGGGTTATAAAGGTGATGGATTACAGCCTACTGTGCTATGGAGCATCATATATACTTAGAAGAAAAATAAGTGTAATTTCTGCTTCAGAATAATTTCTCATTTTCCCCCTTTTCAGAAAAACTCTGTTATTGGAACTGAGCAGCAGAACAACAGCACTGCAGTGAATGTTAGTACATACCATGGCCTTGGAGCTAATCAGAGGATAGCAATGCAGGCATTGGAAGGGGGCAAGAGGGAGAAAGCAAAGGGACAGAAACTAGTCTTACTCAAAGCAGAACAAATACGTTTCACATACGCACAGTTATAAACACACTTCTCAGGACTATTAGGCATTTGAAATCCTACAAATACCAGTGAAGCATAGGGATTTATTTGTAATTTATGCAATTTACAAAATTAGCCAACATGTAAATTAATTTGCTTCCATCTCCATCCTCGCAGAAAAACCAATTGTGCTGTTCAACTCCAGCACTCAACACAAGGTGGCACCAAACCACAGGTTACATGTGCCACTTGGTTGAATTGTTTTATTTACTGCTTGACTACAGAGTGATAGAAGGAGGCAAATGGAAGTCATCCCCCTTTGAATTAAGGGAGGTTTTAGCAGGAGTAAGGACATTTCTGCAACCTAGCGTGCGCAAATTAAACTGCACAGCCAAAAACAAACTCTAAAATAATAAGAAAAACAGCAGCAACAGTCTGACAGAAAACAAACATAAAATTAACACATAATAATTCACATTAATTCAAATCAAACAGCATGAAAGAGTGTGAATGAGACCAACAGTAGCCCTGATGGCCAAGATTAGACTGAGGCAGAAACCTGGCATTGAAAGGGGATAACCCACAAGGCTGTAGAGTGTTGTGACAGATATACAAGGGGCAAGCCATGCAGACTGGAGACTGCTGGAGAGTTAGAGGTTCAGGTCATTATTTTAAGTTATTGTAATTGTCACAAGGAAAGGCCGTTGTGTACCAAGGGTTCGGCTCCGGGTTTTTCCCTGCAGTCTTGGAAGTGTGGGGAAGAGAGGAAGCTTGCATTTCTCCCTTTACAGTTCAAACTGTCAAATGAAATTTCAATCAATTATCAATTTCCCATCGGGATCAATAAGGTCTTATCTATTTATCTAAATTGACAACAATAATGAACTCCCATGGTCAGTGTCAGGTCAGTGAGCAAACTGCAGCTAATGCAACCTCCCATTCCCACCTCCCAATCTTTATAATTGCTGTGAAGATCCATATGAAACCGCCGCCTCCCATTCACCAATGGTCTGCATCCTGCAATTTCTGTTTAACAAACCGGAAATGCCTGCTACCTAAACCATGTTGCCAGAAAGGTGTGAACTCCAGCCTCAACCAAAGCTAACCTAGCTGGCTGTAAATGGATAATTCTACCTGTACGGTATATCCATAACTCGCTGAATGAATACAAATTCCTAAAAGGCACAGGGACAACAAAGACAGTTCACAAAGAAGGAAGGTGCATGAAATTGCTTGCAGATGAATTACTTGATTAGTAGGAACGAAATGGACTAAGTGAATGATGGTGGTATTACTGCAACTATCTCTGTAGTTTTTCTACTGCTAAGATGAGGATCCTGAAAGAGAAAAAGAGGGTGGGATAGTGAGCCTTCTTCTTCTACATCCGGAGGAGAGATTATGGAAGTTCCACAGCAAAAATAAAACATGGAAGTGTGGATGAGAAACCTAGGATTAACAAAGAGAAAGGGAGAGGATGATAAACAAGAAACAATATGTGCCTGTGCCTTTAGGAATTATAATCATCTTTCAGCTAAAGACTCCCCTTTCCATTGAAAGAAAAATTACTGTTTTACTATTCTGATTTTTAGATTCAATACACAATAGTACTTTGTTACTTGTGCAGAATGTTCCTTTATAATCAACTGGCTTGTAACTGATTTAACAAAGAAGTGGTGGGGAAATCACTCAGAAACAAACCAAGACATTTTTTATGGCCTAAATATATTATCCCTTTATATTTAAGTATTTTTTAACCTTTTGTACTGAATATAACTGACAATTAGAGGTAGAGTGAAAACAAATGTGTACAATAGACTGTAAACTACCATTAAATTCAATAGTTTCATACATATCTTTTTGGTAGAAATATTTGCTCTACCAAGCAAACTAACCAGCTGTGTAATGCATGCTTTATACAAAAATGGAATAAATGTACCACTTAACCAATCTTCCTATGTGACAGATCCTATGTGACAGCAGGCTTTAATTTAATAACTTCTTAACTACAGTAAACAAATAAATTCGTTCCTAATCCAATATTTGATGAATAATTTTATAAATTAGTAACAATAATCTGTGGGGAAAATATTAACAATTTCTTTGTTGCATAAAAAAGAATTCTAGATCTTCTAATTACAAAAATAAATCATATTCTCCAGCTCAATGGAAGATGCCACTATCTCAATTAATGCAGTCGATGATCATGTATGGTGCGTGCAAAGGTATTCAGACATTACAGTTTTCACATTTTGTTGCTTTAAAGCGTACAGCCATGAAAGGCTGAATGAAAATTGAACTTATCTTAGCCTTAGAAGTGATTCATTTTGAGCATTCAGATTTTGAATAAAATAGTTTTTGAAATAATAAATATTATGAATAAATAATTTTACAAAATGTCTATCCACAACACATCTAACAGACCTGAATACTTTTAAAAGGCACAGTAAAGAATCTTGAGAAAGATGCTCTTTTAAAATAAAAAGTAAGACTGATCAATTTGATCTCTGTTACTAGAATGACAGTTCTGTTTCTGGAGACTAATTATAATCAGTCACATAGCAAAATCTTCTAAGAACCATGGAACAGGCATAGTATTTTCATTACAAGTAGAAACTATTTTCCTGTTCAAATGAGCTGAAATGCTTACAACATTTTTGCGCAATTTCCTAGGGCCCTGTGAGACTAGCAGTAATCTTGTGCTTACCATTATCACAGACACACCAGCTGTAGTGTTGTTCTGCTTTGGTGCTGCATTAAAGTGCTTCTTTAGTTTACCTGTGACTTCCATCTTCATGTTGTTCTCCATAGCAGCATCATCCTGCAGGGTGACAAACACCTGTCAGCACAACCATAGTCCCTCACAGAGCACAAATACACTGATAGGGCCATTTTAAGTGCCAAAATTCAGCCGCTAGTTACAGTATATTGTTTGAGATGTGAAACAACGGGAATGAAGTGCAGTCAGACCTGAATACACGCTGCATTAGGCTTTTTAATGAATTATTTCTCATTTTATATTCATCTCAACTTCAGAACATTATTAACATTAATGACAATTTTATCTTTAAACTCTTGATTTCCTGTTCAGTATGCATGGCAAAATTATATTTTCATTGCTGCTGTATTTGTTTCCCTGTGATTTGTTTTTATTACAGTTTTCAATTACTGTACAGTATGTATGACTGGACTTTACAAAATAAGCATTTCTTTATGAAAATCAAATTCATTGATTCATTGCTGACTCCAAATGTTAAAAGAGCTTAAAAGCTGACCTCAGGAAGAGCCTATCCTGTAATGTTCTGGTTGAGCCAAAGGCCAAAATGAAAACTGTTCTCTGAAGTTTTCAGAAGGGCTCAAATACTTACAGCTACCCAGGGGTGAGCCAGGACCTGCTCAGCCGTGTACCGAGCTTCAACATTCACCTGCAACATCCTGCCTATCAGCTCCTGCAACAACAAGCAAGTGGGACCATAAAAAGAAAGACTTTCAAGATAGGTGAGAAATGAGTAGGGTTATACTTGCTCTGATATCTCTAGCCATCCTTTTTCTAAACAGTTTTGGTCAGTACAGGGTCGCTGGGGGGTGCTAGAGCCTAACCTAGTAAGCAACAGGCACAAGGTAGGCTACACCCTGGAAAGGACACCAGTCCATCACAGGGGAGACACACAGACACAGATTCGCATACCAGGGCCAATTTTCCCAGAAACCAATTAACTTACTATGTTTGGGAGGAAACTGGAGCACCCAGAGGAAACCCACACAAACACAGAGAGAGCAGCACCCCAAGAATTGAGCCCAGGGCCTCAGTGCTGTGAGGCTGCAATGCTAAATACAGTGCCACCGTGCCACTCTCATCTTCAGGTAACTAAGTTACAGTATACACATTCACAATTCAAAACGTGACTACATTATTAGCCCCCCATGGGCTTTATGTCAGTCACAGTGATCTATTTAATGTCGAAATTAGGTGATTTTATTCCTTTTTCCTCATTTTTGTCAAAATCCATATTTGAATACATTGTAGAAACTATTTCTTTTTTGGGATCATTCACTTGCTAGGGGTACTGTAACTGAAACAAACATTTTCAAAACACATTTAACATGAGATGTGTGAAGAGGTTATTAAATGTAGCATTATACAGCACTGTCTCAGGATGGTTTCACACAGAGCTCCAGGAGTCAGAAGTGCCTCATTTCTCAGATCCAATCTCAACTTCTTTATACAGCTATAAATTAAAACTAAGAATTTTTTTTACAATAGGGGCCTGGGGACAGGAACATTTATGTAATGGAAACTACCACCGCAGGCAAGAACGACACAAAAGATCAGTTCTGTTTCTCTATATTTGTAAGAAAATACTTTAATAAGGAATGTTGCTTCACAGGGCATGTTGTGATTTGTGGTTACTTGTGATTATGATAAATAATGGCATATTAAGCAAAGCAACATAGTTAAGAAATAAAGAAGAGGACCTGAAGTTGTGTTGAATGCAACTGTAGTTAATTGCTTTTTTCTTGAGACATAAAATGAATTATATTTGTGCCACTGTGAATCACTCTGGGCTTGAAATTAATTATTTGGATCCCTTTGGAACTATACATTATATGCTTCGACTTGTTATATGAGAGGGACATTAACTCAGATTAAAACTACTTGATACAGACTCTGTAACCGGGTAGGCCATGTGAAAATCACTCAGCTTCTGAGCACAGCTTTAAGTTAAAATACGTACTTTAGCAGAGTCAGTAATGTTGTCCCAGTAGGGAGAGGGAAACTCCAAATGCCCAATGAGAATCTGGTCAAAAAGATCTTCTTGAAGATTGTTCTCACTGCGGAGACAGAGGGCAGTAGGTCAAAAATACACATGCAGTATACCTGTACATTACTAAATTACGGGGCTTTCAAGATAATGTGAATATGAATGCATTTAATTAGAACTGTATATTAACAAATACGTTCTAACATTATCCATACTTTAGCAGCACACACACCATAACAATAGTGCACTGCTTTTTATTTTTATCCACTCAGACTTCATTATCTCCTGAAGACGTGCCAATCAAAATAGTTTTCACCATCCTGCAAAACTTCATTCCATGACACTTTAAAGGAATCAAGGTCTTGCAAATTGTAAGGAAAGTGCAACCATTTGAAAACCCTCTTCTTTCACATTTTAACTTTTGTTTTATGTTTTAATTTTGTTGAATTAACTTGGGATATAATTATTTTGATACTATGATAATCATAATTGAAAAATATTCTTACACTTAAAAATTTGATCCTCAGTGTCTAGCTTGATGCTGAAGTATGGAATTGTTTATTATTTTTTATAACTGTATCATGTTTACTATGTCTCCACATAGAAACATAGAAAAACCATCATAAACAATGTGTTCTACTGTACACACTATAACTTTCTGATAATATCCTTTCTTGCTGCCTTCTCACATACTGCTTCATAGAAGAGCTGACATAATGTAATAAATCAAGTTTCATATGATTGTAACACTCTTCTGCACTCTCTGATTAATAATATTTTGATCTGTCTTTGTGCTTATTCTAATGGGAGTCACATATTTTTAATACCAGCTCAACTGGTTTCTTATTGTGAAAATGTATACAGAGCTGCGACTTAAATATTTGCTTTTTAAGAAATGACTAGTCACAAATCTCAAAACAATCTGTTCCCTTTTAGTGATTTCTCCATTTTGTCCTAGGCCTTTTGTCCTTCTGGTTAACTTGTTTGTTCTCTCTTGACTGTGGTCAGTGCTCAGTGGTGCAAAGTACTGGTTATTGCAAATAGCCCCATACAATACCTTATCTTGCAAAACGTACTTTTACACCTTCCCTATCCATTAACTCACTCATTGGAGCTGTTCTGACTTTTTTCTGAATATTTTTCTGTTTTACCTGTCTCACCGAAGGTTTTATTGGCTTTTTACTAAATTACAAAAGTGTTAGTTTGATGGGAGAAACTGTTCGAAAAATAAATACACTTTCATGTTTTTTTCTAAAAGAATATTAATGACTTAATTACTTTTGTGTTTTTCAGTAGAAATAAACAAGTATCAATAATCTTTATAGAATGTATAATTACAATTCAACTACCCAGTACACAGTATTTGCATGGTACTTTCAGATTTCACATCATTTTTTACTCTGCTTGTGATTTACATTTCCAATGATTCTAAGTCATTGGTGCTTCTACACCCATCGTGAGAATCCAAATTACTCAGGGGACTGTGTTACTGTTGTAAAAGAGTCAGCAAAATAAATGCCATTTCAGCAATGTAGATTTCCACTGGGATTCTGAATGGTGGGATAAAAAGTAAGCCTTTAAGACTATGAGTAGGTCGACTCAGCTAATTGATTTAATTATCATACAGGCCTTCTACAAGTTTTATATTTTTAACATGTCAGTTTCAACAGAGAATAAAACATCCAATAAGCTGACATAAAAACAGTGCTTTTAAAAAGCAGATTTCCAAAATGGAACCAGCTTTAGAAGGTTTCTTACAAAATGTGGATTCACAAACACTGATCTGAAATAAAACATCTGTGTTATTTCTACACAGCATACTTTTGAGACGATTCCATTTTGATGAACATAGGATTTCACAAACTGTATTAGATTCATTGAATTACTCTTCAGTTCTCATACTAGATTCAAAAGATGAGCCCAAGTGGGAGTGTTACAATCTATAGTCACTAGCATGAGCCATTAGTGTAATGAAGGTTGAACTTAACACACATATTTTTAATTCCCTCTTAATAATAACTGCATGTGGAAAGGGAATCGAGGTTAAACCAAGAAGTGTTGCTGTTCTTTTTTTTCACAACAGGAAGAACAACTGACCTTCGAAATGGTGGGAAGCCACAAAGAAGGATATATGTGATGACACCAGCAGCCCAAATATCCACCTTCAGACCATAGCTGTATAAAACAAGTGTTAGAACATTGTCATACAGAGTATGAATAAAAAAAGGAATATAAACCTCAGTAGTAATAACAGGGATGCAGAGTAGATGACGGCTCATGTCACGAATTGAGAAATATCCCAGGTTTGTCTCTTGAAAGCTCTGTTTGCTGTCATGTTGGGTATTCTGTAAAGGATGCTGAAGCTGGCTGGTACAATACCTGATTTCCAAGTTTTGTCTTGTTGTTATGCCAGACAATTCATCCATATTTTCATAACATAATACATTGTCGCTCAAGCTCCCCATTTCTTGTTGCTATTTTTCATTTGGAAACATTAACATTAACATTTTTCCAGCACTACTGTATTTTTAACTTCATATTATGATAAAGAAAGACCAGATGAACAATTTAACCTGACTGACAAAACACTCAACATAGTATAATTTTAAAAATATGATCAAAGTTAATTCAATTTTAATAAAGTAATTTATTAAAAACTCAACATTTTAATCATGAATATGTTTGAATTTATCAGGCTTCGTACTGTACTGGAACTACTCACAAGTATTTTTCTTTCTATAAATGCTAGCAACTAATAAATAACCACAAAATAATGTTATAACTGGTGGCTCCTCAATTGCAATAGGTTTCCAGGAATTTCTTAATTTGATGTCTGTAAAACAATATGTTCATTACTTAATTCCAATAGTGTAAAGCAAGAGTATACGTTTTAACAATGTAGTGGAAATATACAGTACAATCAGAGATGTGGTAGCTCAATTCAGGAATGCTGAAGCTGAATTGAGGCCTCTGTTCTGTTCCTACCCTGTTTCTGCAATGATCTCTGGAGCTACATAGGTGGGGGTCCCACATACAGTATACAGAGGTCCCTCTACCACTGTGGCCAGGCCAAAATCTCCCAGCTTCAAAGACTTGGTGCCATCTGGATATTCACACACCTGCAGAGGGGCAAAGGATTCCAGGATCAGAGGCTGTCAAGTGCGGTGACACTAAACTCAGATACTTCAATGAGGAAATCACGAAGCTTGCAAATCAATGCATGAAAATGAATATTTTTTATAAACGGCATGTATTGATTGCAGATGAAACTGTCATTGCATTAAACATTGATGATATTAATGCTTTTCTTATTTTTCATTTTTACAGTGCTATTCACATCATTAAAGCACATCAGAATTGATGCCAATATCCATTATATAATCAATAATGTTTTATGATCACTGTTATAATGCTGAAACATACTTTTTAAGATAAGAACGGTTATGAATGAGAAGTGGCCACTCAGCCCATCCAGCATGTTTGGTATTAAGGAACTAACTTATCCAAGCCTTAGATTTTATCTACATCTTTTGAATTTCATTTGCTGCTTCTACAGTGTTTGGTGGGCCTTCCTGTTTTGGTAATGTCTATAACTGAAACTAGAGCAGGTGTTATATATCGTTGATTTAAATTAGGAAGAGCAGTGATCCTTGTACAGATCCCTGTGGTACACCACTAATTACATCACCCCACTCACAGCATTCACCCTTAGAATTGATGGACTACTGAAAACATGTGAAAACAAAACCCATTTGCAAAGATGATCAGGAGAATACTCATTTACAGTATATGGTGTTTTCTGGAATAGATAGAGCTTCCCATCCAAGGTTTAAAGTTTAGAACAGAGTCCTAATACCTCCGTTGTGGTTAGATGTCAGTATGGTAATAATGAGCTTTACTTAACAGCATACATAATATGAGAGGGTACAGAGGAGAGGATGCCAAAAATTGGGCTGCATGATCTTCAGGAAAGTCTTCAGGAAAACATGTCTGGTGGAAAAGCTGCTCTAGAACTGAACTGGCCCCACTTCTGTCCATACACATACCAAGAGGTTCTCCGGCTTGATGTCCCTGTGCACAATGTTCATGCAGTGCAGGTATTTGAGGGCGCTGGCCAAATTGTAAACCATAGCACTGGCATCTCTCTCTGTGTACTTCGTTGAGGAAGTGATGGCATCAAACAGGTCCCCTCCCTGAGCAAAACAGGCTTTCAATTGTGACAAAACCTCTTCACCGCAACCATGAATGATTAAGAAATGTGTATGAGTTTCCTTAATAGAACTTTTGCTGTAGTTTAAATACACTTATTAATAATACAGGCTACAGCAACAAACATGAAAATATCCACTATAGAATCTATAGTATAACTCTGTCTGAAGTTTCGAAAAATATGCTAAAGTATGTAATATATTTTAATAACAATGCTAAAAACAAGTAGGAAACTATTATATACTTATAAAATAAAAAAAATATTTTAAACAGTTAAGAACATACTGTACACTTAAACGAGGCTTTATGGGCAGTAATGTTGGCCGTAAATCATACAGTATAAGGTTTGTCTTCAATTACATTTCAAACCAGAAGACAATCAAAAGTGATTACAAAACCACCTCTTTTCATTAAGTAAAAAAAAAGGTTTTACCTGCATTTACCAAAACAAAATGTGCAACATTCCTGTTTTTACTGTTGTAAGATGAAGAAACACAGAACAATGCACCAGTTCTTACAGCAGTTAAGAGGTACAAATGACTAGAAACACTAGAAATGTAAATGTTGCTCAAACAAATTGCTCAAAACAAAGAGGAAAAACTGAATTCCCAGCACTGTTGCATTGTTCAGCAACCACTTTCTTTCCTATGCACTCTACTTTATACAATACTAAAACAAAGTAATAAAAGCAACTAACAAATCTTAATCTAAATATACTGTATATGCAAGTAAAAACCTGCTGTCGGTTGAGCTTTATGCAGTCTAAAAGGATCCTCCACTGTCTCATGGCTGAGCGGGATATCACCAGCCCGGGCTCACCTTGACCAGCTCCATCACCAGGTAAAGCTCTGTCGCAGTATCCACCTCCTCAATCAACATGATGATGTTGGGGTGTTTCACCTTCCGCAGCACTGCCACCTCGTTCTCAATGAGGTGCTCCTGATCACAGACAAGCAAGCCCGTCCACTTACCGCAAGCGATCACTGGCCTAATACATTTACACGTTGCATTAACCTCCACTCCCCCTGTAACTTTACACAAGTCTTTAAGTGATCAAATTTTATGTGGATCGAAAGCAACACTTTCTTAGTTCTTGATTGTTGCATGAACATATATAAAGAAGACCATTCATGATACTGCAGTGATCCTCCCTTATTTTCCCTAGCTGTGCCTGTGAGTGAGGAAGGAGGGTGAGAAGAGCAGAACTGCAGGTTTTCCAGATTTTATGTCCCTGGCTAACAGGTACCGTATCAGAAAGAGAGCAAGAGAGATAATATAGTTGAAGCTAGCAGCCCATGAAGTAGAGCCAGAGAAGGTAAACTTCCCCAATTTATACAGTATATTTAGAGATAAATGGAATAACAACGAATGGAAAGATGTTTTAAACTGTACTGTATATTTTAAAAATATTTCCGGTAAAGGTAAGAACAATTTGAATTATTTGGTGTCCAATTAGAATTAAACACCATATATAGCATACACTTAAATTATTCATATTTTTTTAAATAAGTAATAAACAAATAAAAAAAGTTTGAGAATGAACTTTTAATGAATTTATAAATACTGTATATTTGATTAACCTACACTTTACTGTTCAGTAATTCGCACACAAGCTGCTGATGGTAACCCTATTAGACTCACTATGTGCTATTCATCAGTGGAGGGAACTCACTGTTTCACTTGGAATGGAAAATTTCAACAACTTGAAAATTTTATTATTGGACCTGTGGGAGTTTTTACATTAATCCGAATTTATGTAAATTGAGTCTTATATAACCTAGGGACAGGATATATAAATAAATTAAATATATTCAGCAGTGCTAATCAAATTCACTCCTGTACAAGGGAGATGGACGAAGAGTGTATGTACAAAAAATTTGACTCCTCCAGTCATTCTGAAAACATTCAAGTATTCAGAGGAAGAAACACATTAAAGAGAAATTAAACTTGATAAAATTATTGAACGTAAAGAGCAGCGACCAAAGACTGCATATTAAGGTTTACCAGTCTCAAAATTATGTTATAATGCAAGAAGAAAAAGGTAAAACAACTGTGAGACATATTTGGGTTAACATATTCAGTATTTTGCACGTGGTTTGTTTAGTGTGAGTGAAGTGTTATTTAATCTCTGACCCGGGGAAGTGTGGTGTGGGCGGCTGAGGAGGGAATGCAGGCTCGCGCTGTGTCCTTTATTCTCTTTCTTCTTTTTCATGTTTTGATCTGCTAGTTTTTTTGTCTTGGGGGGAGGGGGGGAGTAAAGTTTGATAGTCAGCCAGTGAAACCTCTGTTTTCCTTCATATGAATGCCTAAAACCCTACACTGAACCCAGGATTTTACATAACAATATGCTCCCTCCCTCAAGAACAAAGATATAAAGTACGGTACATAAGTAAAAATTAAAAGTAAACAGAGGGTTCAGATGGAGAAAAGACATTTTAGATGGATACATAGCACTGTATATTTGTAATATTTGTATAGCAAATATACATATATGATTGTGCTTAATATCTTTAATACCAGCTTCCCTTCTCTATGACATGAAACAAATCAGTTACTCTGGGCATCTTTATAAGGGCACAAAATCTGTATGATGGCGTCCTGAGGAGACGGACCACCTGGGCTGATCCAGATGGTCAAAGAGAACTTGCCCATGTTAAATGGACTTTATTGTGTAAATCAAACAGCAGCACAGCAAGTTGTCCCACATTTTCTCTCTGATTGCTATGCATGTTTCAGGAATGAGCAAGCATTCTTTCCAGTCTTGGTAATCTATTTAGATTTGAAAAGTCCCTGCACTGATTTACCACAAATATGTGTAAATAAAAAAATAAACGTTTTTTTGTCAGAGCAGTAAAAGCAAATGACAAGAGGCAAAGAGTAAACATTTGATGAAAAGATTTTCCAAAAGATATAAAAAACAGCATGAAAGTCACTGCACATTAACAAATTGCAAAACAAAACATTTTAATGCATTTACTACATTTCTATTTTATACTTTAAAAATCAGTGCTCCAAAATTTCCATTAGATACCTTCATGTTCATCTAGTACAGATGTCATTTACCTTTCCACTGCACTTGGCTTTATCAATTATCTTCAGTGCAAACTCCTTTCCAGTGGACCTGAAAACAAAGTGTGCGTGATTACAAACAAGCAAGACATATGTGCTTAATTGACTACACATTTAAATTATAATTTTCACCTGAAAGGCACTCATACATAAAATTCTTGTTTAGGAATGATTCAGTCTCATTACAAAACAAAATCAGAAATGGTACAGATTAATTTTGTAGTTCAGGTGGGTAGCTGCGTCAGCAAGTGTAGGCTGCAAAGGAATAAGTAAAGGTTTATTCCATGCTGAAAAGAGAAGAAAGTAAACAATGTTTCGTCTGTGGAGCCTTCTTCAGGTGTCCGAAGAAGGCTCCACAGCTGAATTGTTTTTTCTTTTCTTTTCTGCATAGAATAAACCTTTACTTGTTCAGATGGATTTGGTTCTCACTCATCTAAATAGAAGAATAAAAAATGTGTACATTTTTTGTGCACATTCAATTGTAAATTACACACATTACACAGATTGTAGTGTAAATTATACAAATGCCTGAAATTTCCGTTGATGAGAGTCACAGTAGTCTGTGTTATAGTAGTGACTTCAAAAAACTGCTATCAAATGGAGCAAAGTGTTCCAATTTCAGTGAGCAATAGTCAAGATGATCAGTTATATTTTGTCAGTACCATGGAGGATGCAGGAAAAGTAAGTAATCTCTTGCCAACACTAGGGTTACATTCCTGGAAATCCTTGCTTAGGTAAATTTGCAGTTGATAAACTTGAGACTCCATGAGAAAAATATGGCAAGGGGATCCGAAGCCACAAATTAACATATGAAAGCCCTTTAACATTCTTTTTTTCACCTATAATGAACACAAGAACACCAGAATAAAGTGAAATTGTTATACTGTGGCTTGGTTGAAAATCTTGAGGCTGGCTCAGAGAAAAAGGAATAATTTGCAGTGCAGGGGATGGATATGTTGTCTGGTCACAGATATAAAATTTGGGCTGACTTTCCCTGTGGAAACTGAGGATAGGGAACTCTTACCCGTCCGGGCGTAACAGAAATACAATTGATGTCAGCAAAAATAAATACACACTGTCAATGTCAATCTAAAAACAAAATTGTTAAACAATAACAGAAAAAATATTTGTAAAGATTCTTGTAGATCTGGCATACGCTTCCAAAATAGCTCAGTTTCATCAGCACTGAAGACCTGATCAAGTCTTTTTCATCAATTAGCTTCTTCAGTATGGCAGGAATTACATGCTTCCTTACCTGCTTATTCTTCACCTTATTTCATCTTACTGCTTACTAACACTTTTTAAAGCTATCAAAACACACTTGGATGTCAAGAAGATTTTCAGTTTCCCCTCTCCTTTCTACACGATGCTTGTCCAATGACATACTGGTAGGTTATTTGGCTTCTGTAAATTTGGCCCTGGTGTGAGTTTGTTCTCATGTGTCTGTGTGTTCCTTGTGATGGACTGGCATCCCATCCAGAGTGTATCCTGCCTTGTACCCGTTGCTTGCTGGGATATGCCCTGGAGGGTCATGCTGTTAAGCAGCTATTAAAAAAGTGATGTGATGGTGATGGTGATGATAATTCAACCATATATAAATGTTATCCTCTTAAATAACTTAACACCTTTGTAACAAAATACAAAGATATTTTCTTTTACTCAACATAGTTCAGGGGGTCTATCAACTTCAAAACTAGAAGTGCACAGAACATTGAAAGATTGAAAAAGAAGGACCAAAAAAAACTTGAGACTTCACCCACCGTTCTACACACTCCTTCACAACAGCAAAGTTGCCATCCCCAATCACCTTCCCAATCCTGTATTTGTCAAAGATTACTGAAGCTGGCACGCACTTGTTCCCATTAACTGCTGAAGAGAAAATGGCATTACAAACTGACAAGAAGTCATGCAGAACAGGGGGCTTAAAAATGAGAGCTTGAAGCTGCTGGTGAGGTTTCCACTGAGATCTGTAAGACCCATATCTTTAATAAACGTAGGTCATCGACATTAACATCACATCTCTGTGGGACCTTTCGTACTGTTGAAAGGGACAAGTGTTATCATGAAACTACAAAATAGAAGTTTACTTGTTCATATACTGTAGGCCCCAATATTCTCGTTTTAAAATAAGCAAATATCATTATCATTCTGATTATAATTCATACGGTAATCAAGACATCAGGTTAAAAGAAAGTCCCTTCAATGCACGTGTCCCTTCAGAAATCTAATAATCCTCGAAGACTCATGGATGACATTTGATGTTTAAAAGATTAAAAGCACACTGTATTTTCCGTACTAATTCAGTTCCTTCAGAGAACATTTTACTAAGAAATACAGGTGTGTTGTGTTATTACTTAATGCTTAATGGTGACAGACATAGTGAGACAAGTATAAATGACAGGAAAAGATGGTAAATTATATAGCCTGAAAGGCAATATTTTATACTGTACATGTTTACAAGCACCTATTCTCCCTGACTTCCTAAGGCTCCCTGTGGGTGTCAACTGAAAAAGATAGATATTTACTATGCTGTTATCTTAGAATACATAGAAAAACAGCAAAACTAAAATGTGTGTTTTCATTAAGACGCCTTTCATAAATATTGCCGCAGCAAAATCCTTGAAAATCCAGCTCAAAAGTGCTTTCCTAAATATCTAAAGGTAAACAAGAGAATAAGGAAATAAGCAACTGCAATGAAGTCAGTGAGCAATTCTGTGGTATGACTAGAGAGTATAACATTTTGTTGCGAAACAACATAGTCTTGCACCTTAAACTGGTGTTCAGCCGGCCTCATATTTGATGAATATTTACTTGCAATGTGCTATACAAATAGAAAAAGAAAAATGATTAAATATTGAGCTACAGTACGTGTAGTTCTTCTCCCAGTGCTTTATAGGAAAAACTTAATATTAGGCAATTAACTTGAGAGCATTCTTCACACCACTGCTCAAACACAATTTGCCCATCAGTACTGGTGCTACACTATGTACACTTTACTTCATATCACACAATTTCATACATGGTTGGTTCGCTCTGCAAATTCTGCAATCTGCAGTAAGCCCAAAGGATTTGATAATGTTTCCAGGTGTGAAACCAATCTTCCAATCTGCAGTGAGACAACCAAGACTCTGGGATTACAGTATATGGAGGAAACATTTCGCTGGATAGATACCTTCAGGGCTCAAACAATTGGTTTGATCAGCAGCACCATTCACATTAGATGCAGAGCCATGATGGGGAGGAATCTGTATAGCAAAAAAACATGGAGCATTCAGAGTTGAAGAAAAAAAGATTATGAGATTGTAGTAGTGAGTTACTCAAGCAATATACCATGAGTATAAATAGTTCATTTTTAACTATAGTAACATTCACATTAATTATAATAACATACTTCATAACTGTTAAAGGAAAAAGAATAAACATTTTAAAAGTTGTTAAATACATCTATAACTTCTTTTCACAATCCAACCTTATAATACATTCAATAATTCTATACTAAAGTTTGTCTTAGAAATCTGTCCTGAGGGGTTTACCGTCTATTAACAGGTATTAAAATAGAAGAGGCTGACCACATCTATTTCAGACAGCCTACGACAGAGAGAAAACAAGCTTATCATAGTCCATGACAGACATGTCAGCAAATCAGATTATACTGACAAATCCTTTACTCTCTCTAGACATTGGCATTGCTGAACATGAACTCCTAGCAATCTTACAAACTACATCTGATATAGAATTGTTGTTTCCAAGAAGTTGTCAGTCATCACCTGATTGCTAATACCATACAAGCAGACTTAGTGCTTAAGAGTTTTTAATGGATACATTTTTAATCCACTCATTGGTTGCAGTCATATCAGGTCTCAGTAGTCTTAAGAGAATAAAGTACAACAAAAAGAGGGTAGAATGAACTCAGAACAGGATATTTAAACTATAAAAAAATTATTACTGACATTCATGTTACTTTTTCATGCAATACAATAATGAGGAATTCTTTGCATCAGTTTCATTACTGAACACGTTTTGCCCAATGCACAAAATTGCTCTATATTCTCTCACTAACTCTGACTGTATTGCTTCTGTCTCTTCAAAGCTAGATCTTGTCGACCTTTTGATGCTTGCATTTTTGGGATGGTAATTCATAAAAGAAAAAGTAATCCTGGGACCTTTTTCTCTTTTCCAAAACTCAGCATCTCATCAATCTAATGAAGGACATCACCCTTGCAGAGTCAATGAACCAAAGACATTGATTTTCTGTACTTAACATTCTAAACCTGATAACATCAAAAGTCTGATTGCATCTTGGGACGTCACTTCCAAGCACAGTTCACGTACTTTTAAGTTGACTGCACTGCACTTCGTAAAGGTTCATGCAGTTTCTCTTCAGCATATATTAAAGTGATCACTAAAAATTAAACTCACTGAGAGTGGGATTCTACTCCCACTGTCTATACTGTACGTTGTGTAAATTCGGTAATTCTCTGTTTCACTGTCACACATAAACATAAATGAAACAGTTTCTTTAGCTTTTTTACTTGCAGTTATCACCCTTTTTTTCTATATCATCTGCATCATCAGATCATCAGATATAATCTGCAACTCACTCAGTAATTATTGGCAATTATCTCACTTATCATTTTTGGCAATGTTTTTAGAAGAGGCTATTGCCATTCGTTTACAAATCATTTATCTGCAAACAAGTTGCACAGTACGAATCATTTTAATCTGTGTTCAGATTGATGCATATTACTGAAATACAGAACGTTAGGGTGATTGTACTGCTTTCTGTCCTGAGGGTTTAGAGTCTATTAACAGGTATTAAAATAGAAGAGGCTCTATAGAGAGCCAAGAGCTGACCACATCTTTTTCAGACAGCCTACGACAGAGAGAAAACAAGCTTATCATAGTCCATGATTGAATTAAACTGCTTTGTCACAGTTTAATTCTAACTGAAACAAAGCATTTGCTCAGACTGGGCATTGTTCCTCTTTGACAAGTTTGGTCATACTCTTGCATTCTATATGTCAGTATTCAATATAATTGCATTTCAGAGTATAAAAGCCTTTGAAGCATGCACGAAATCTGTGGCCCATGAGATCACCAAAACTCTTTGCATAATTATTGGAGAGGCTTTTCAAGCCTTTGCTGCAGCCAGTTTGAGTTTTGTCTATCCAAGGGGCGTTCTGACTATTTTTCTACAGCATTGATGTCCAGTCACCAACCATATTTTTTTCAGTTAAACTCCAGCCTGCAGCTAGAACTTTTGACCAGTGTGTGTCCACTCGATCACCTGAACATTACAGCTGGTCAATGGTCAATATGCCTGTATATACCAAAATTAGCTGCTACACCATGAGCAAACCAATTTAAACCCCAATGGTGACTCGCTAGGACCAGACAGTTAACCTTGTGCACAAACTTCTCATCCATTCTCAGCTCAAAGCTAACCAGGAGATCTACTGAAGAGAACTGACTGTCACAGCTGGACTTTCTCTCTCCCTAACTTTCTGACACTGCATTGGTTGACTGGCTGGCTTCGGGCCAGCAGACCACATATTGGATATCTCTTTGACACATACACATCAGCTGTTCCTTTCTCTTACCGTGCAGGGGATGCTATTGATCTCGAGAATTCAACTGTTATTCTAAACACCTTTAGATACCAATTGAATTAATCTAAGTAAAGGTATTTACTTGTCTGCGAGTATCTGAATACTGCGTTTTTACATGAAACTGATCAACAAGATTCATACCAGCCAAGAAAAAGCTCATATGATTTACTTCCACAATTAATAAATTGTGCCTGTAAATACAACACTACAACTTGCTAAGTTGAATAAAATTGGGAGATTTACTTGGTCAGTCTAAGATTAGTCTAAGATTGTCCTGATGAACTCCTTGATTACAGGAGAAAATAGACAGTTGTATGTGCTAAGTCATTGAACAAGCTCAAGTAGGCAGCTGCATTAGCACATGTAGGCTGCAAAGGGATGGGTTAAGGTTTATTTCATTCTGAAAATAACTTTCTTCTTTTCCTGTGCTTGGTAATTGCATTACTGTAACTGTATGTTAAACTAGCCATTAAAGTCATTAAAGTATGGAAGCATTTTGTTCTACCTAAGCTGATAAAGTGCGGTTACAAACATCAGAATTAATTTGGTTGCTGTCTTCATTAGTTACATCAGCAATAGACATGAGTGAATCAGTTCCAGAGGCAGCCATGTATGCTAAGGCCTTTACATAACCAAAACCATGCTTCACAGGTGATGTAGCAGTGCTTTTGGAGCATATGGAGTTATTTCTTTCTCCTTATTTTAACATTTCCATCATCTTGGTAAAGTTTTATCTTGGCCTCAATTGTCCATCACATTTTGTTCCAAAACTTATTCTTTGCATATCTGAGCAAATTCTAATCAGGCTTTTCTATGCTTGGTACTGAGGAGAATTTATACTGTATCTTATAACCTTGGTAATGCTGCAATATGTAGATTTTGATACCACACCTCTGCATTCTTGAGGTGGTTGGTGATTTCACTGATGTACATTTTAGGGTTTTCCTTAACAGTTTAAATATGTTTTCTGTCAGGATTTGCAAATGTTTTTCTTGGCTGACCTGGTCTTGACTAGTTGGTTATGATACCTGTGTTTTATTCTTCTTTAGTACAGTATATTACGAGTGATTTTGATATGCCCAACACCTATGCTATGATCCTGTTTGGGCTTTTCTCTTCTTTCAGCTTCAATATTACCCGCCTTTCCTTAAAATAAAAATTATATAGTTTTCACTTTGACTTTAAAATTACAAACTCTAAACACTGAAGTCAAAGTGAGACAGGCTGGTAGAGTTCACAGTACATTAATGAGCCTACTGTAATTACCTAACAAACACCTGACCAACTAGAGACACCTGTCAGCCAATTGTCCCAATACTTTTGTTTTTTCAAAATAAAGTGCTAAACACAATACTTTAAATGAGTTTAACAGAAACAAGAGGGTAGAACTGATTTGAATTTATTAAAAACAAAACAATTCTTAGGAGATGCATTTATCAGTTGTGTTTATTTAATGAGAAATGATTACTAATCTTCTTTATGCGAAACCTTACTTTGAGGCTGCGAAGGCTCCCAGGACTAGTTGGAGAGGAGCTGGAGGATTTGGTTGACTTCGGTGTCGACATCTGGCTTCCAGGAGTGCCATTTACTAGTCAAGAGAGGAAATTGCCATAAGAAGACATGTCAAGTGAGACAACAGAGCAACCCCACAAGTCTACAAATAAGGGAATATCACTGTACAGTACAGTTGTTACTGGAGATCAATGCTGACTTCTCCTCTAAATGCTTCTTAGGCAGGATAATGTTCAGGACAGGGGCAATATCCTTTGACTGGAAAATTGCAAATTTAGCACCCATTCGTTAAAAAAACAACAAAACTGAACCAAGTAAACAGAAAAATATGCCTTATTTCTACTACTTTCAAGGTAAAGTAACTTAATTATGACTAAAATTATCAGTTGAACAGGTATTCCTCTGTATTAGTATACTAGGGGATTGTTATCAGGGACTTAGAAAAAACCAAACCCGAGTAATGTGTTAAACTACTAAACTAATATATTCTTGCTAAAAACAGCAGCAAAAGAGGTCAAACAGTGCATATGACACTGTATATTTATGCATGCTCATATGCATATGCTATGTATGAAAAAGACATAGTGTCTTGCAAAAGTATTTAGTCCCTTTTAATTTTATCCCATTCTGCTAAATCTTAAATTATGTTTAATATACACATTTGTTTATAAATTGTATACTTTTTATGCTTGAAAGCTTAAACTGAATTTTTATACAGTACTTCATTGTATAACATTAATCATATCCCCTTTTTCACATGTACCAAAAAAGGAAACAGAAAAATAAAATACAGAACAAATGGGGAGCATATAGAAAATCAAAATAACAGTTAAATTATTTTTTTACTCATAAAGAGCATTGGAAATCCATGAGCTCTGTTCTTTCAAAAGACAACATTGAAGCAAATTTTGTCATGCTTTATTTTCTGAAAGCATGTTGTGATCTGATCCATGTCTATCTAAACAACCGAACTCCAGTGGGATTCTTCTGTGGATAAAGCAGGTTAAGACTTCTTTTAATTCACTGGTAAAGCAGTTTCGATGTGTAAAATTTCCTTTTAAACGGGGCAGCGTGCCAAGACCACACTTTTACATTTAAGGCAAAGATCATCTGGTACAATGGTAGACAGGCTGTCTGCAGAGCTTATACTGTAAATTCCATGCTCTTTTGGCTAAAGGACAGATAAACATACAGGTACAGTACTGTATATACAGTACATTTCAACAACAAGTAAGAATGAACTTTCCATCTTTGGTAAAAAAGGACAAAATTTATAAAAAATGTTTTAAAATGATTTAGGACTAGCAGATAGGAGACATTTTAAATTGGGTAACTTGTATTTTAAATCTTGCCCCTGAATAGTCTTTAGCTCTTGGGAGATTAGACACATACATGTCAAGGTCTGGATGGCAGCCAAAAACAATGTCAAAAATAGCTGAAGCTGGAGAGTGCCAAGCTTTGAAGTCTGGAGTGCCTCGCTCTTAACGTAATCAAGGGCATTTCTCCCGGCTGAAACAGAACCCCAAAACCCCAAGTAGTTCAAATAATAATAATAATAAAAAGAAGAAGCAGAAAAATAAAAAAATAAAAAGCTCACTTTAAATAACAAAGTCTCTTTAATACCATGCTAAAGAAACTTGGATGTACAAAAAAGAAAAAGAAGAACGAACAGAATATTTGAGGTGCGGTCCAACAAATATGAGTAAAAGTATTAAGATGACACTTGATCTACTCCAAAAACATTTTTTATTATAACTTGTCATTATTTTGATGTGCACAAAAATATTTTTGGAGAGAAGAGTGTACATCCAGCTCTCCATAATACATTTATATTGGTAAAATGATTATCATATGGGTATTACTGTATAACTTTCTATTATAGAGAGGACAGAATTTACTGTATATACAGTACAGCATAAAAATCACACAACAATATATCTTTTTGTTTGTGTTAAGGCTCTATTAATACGTATTTTTAAGATTTTCTCGATTAAAATATTCTCTTATATGCTCTAATAGAAAATATGATGCAACAATTTCAAAAATAATTTTCCCGTTAGAAATATGATCAGGTCCACTTCAATTAGGATGACACTATACTCTTTGTGCTCAGCAGGGAATATCACTATCCTACACAAATCCCCCGAAATATTGATATTCATTTATTCTATTACAGAAGTCTTCTGTTAAAATGGCCATTATTTAAAAATGTATTTGTGTGGGTAATTTTATTTGCTTAATTTCTTACATTTAAAGACTGCATTTAAAGAACAAACAACATTGCTCTACAAGAACATCTAGTGACCTTATAATGTTTCATCATGATTAAATCACAACTTCAACGAGAATATTACTGATATAGTTAAGTAGTTAATAATTAAAAAATATGAACATTTCAAAAGTTATTGAAAACAAGGTCCAAAGTTGTGTTTTAATTTGAGATTTAACTAGAAAGCCTATGAAATGCAGGCAAACGTTTATGCTGACTTATCTGGTACTACTGGGCTTTATGTAGATCTCTGACAGAGAAAGTCAAATTAGTTAACAGTTATTGACATATTAAAAAAATAGCATCTAAAGTAAATTGAATCAAAGCCAGTAGCGAATATGAGGTGCAGAGAAGAAGACAGTGATATACAAAATTCAGGTAAGTACACAGACTATGAGAAGTGCTTGAAATGGTCTCATCAGAGCAGATAAAAGAAGCTCACCTGGAGATTTGACTGGAGAATAACTTGTTGAGTAGTGTCCAGCTCTTCTTACTAAATTAAATCAGGCAAGACAGCATAAAAAGGAGGGAGACAGCAGGGGAGAGAATGGTGAATATGAAAACCACTCAGATCTGGAATCAGATGATCAAGGTTTCAACCAGCCTGCTTTTCTAAATTCACAACATTCTACTGTATTTTTCTGCATCAAGATAATTTAAGCAGTTTAATTAAAATTGCACTTCATCTCATTTAGGTTAATGCAAAAGAGACAATAGTCCAAGGGTGTGGGCTGTACCATGATGTTTCAAATTAATCTTTCCTTAAATATAGTTGTTTTGTAGATTAGAAAGCAAACCATATTTACTTGAACTGTAGCTGTGTGCGTATAGAACTTTGTATTTTAAAAACACATTAACTAAACTGGAAAAGAGCTAGGAGAATTCTGAAAGAGTAATGACATTTAATTAAATTAACACTGTGTCTCTGACTATGACTAGAAGGTTTTGTGCCACACAGGTGCAGTCTTAAACCAATAAAATCCCTTACAGCAACAGCCGCTCTCTTATGGAGACATAACATTGTTGTTTCAAATCAAAACCTGGTCTGTGCCCTCCATTTGCTTGCGCTCAAACAGGAGACAGACACTTCAGCTGAGACACCTCACACAGATCACTAGGGTTATTCCTCCAATCAATCTGTAAAGCAACTGTCATGTCAGCAGAATTATGTGGTGTTGGCTGGCCTTCACAAATATATTTATCCTATCCCACAGGAACGTGATAGTTTAGATTCCAGCGATAAAGCAGGCTAGTATACAACATTGATTAAAAATGCAAAGTGGCAAAAAGTATTAAATTATTCTTTTTATATAGTCTGCGTTTTATGTGGTCAGAGTAACGGTTGCAAAGTGACGGTCTTTCTGTGCTCCACCATCGCCAAGTGAAATACAGCAACAGGATCAATCAGAATGCTCTCCCCTCTGTGACTATGCACAGGGATGCAATCCATGATTTAGATGTGTAAACTGCACTCATGCAGTTCACAGTAAAGTTCAGTTATGATCCTACCATTTCTGGGGTACTTGATGAATGTAATTAGGCACATGGGAATTGTTCCTTGACTCCCTATAGCACAGACACAGCAGTTGCTGTGTGAACATGTTCCCTCAGGAATTCCCTCTGAATCTGTCCAACTTAGTTCAGGGTCATTACTCACATCAAATCACACAGGTGCTTCTTCTCTGCTGGTGGCACTCATGGAATCTGGTAATAGCAGATGTTTTACCCTCAAGAAACTTGCAAATTCATCTTTCATTCCTGCCAGCAGGATTCACATAGCATATTCTATCTGCCTTTTATTGCGTTGCAGTTCAGTGTGGTCTCTCAGCACTCAGCGCTGACATTTTGAAACAGCTAATGTAGTGTATATTTTATTCCAGCACTCCTCTGCATGTAAAAACTCAAAAGCACACATTTCTCACCCTTTGTCATTTCATAGTCAGGAAGTGTAGAATTTGTGAGATGAGAGCACTAACATTTTTAAAACACATAAATACTCATAAAAATGGTTTTCTGCTTAGAAATTGCATTATGAAGAGATTTAAGTGGTATAATAAGATTTAAATTTAACACTAGTTATTTTAAAATGTAGGTAAAAACATACACTCGACAGGAGGGGCCCTGTTAAATTTTTGTTAATTTTAATCAAAGCTAAATCCCTGTGTTTTGTAAGTGTAGCCCTAATGTTTTGTAAATATAGAGCTAACAATATATTATGTTGATCTAATATAAGAGCCCATTGTCTGGGCTGAAGTCATCCCGTGTGGATTGGGTGCTCTACCTGAAGCAGGTGACTTGCTGCGTCTTGAGAGCCCGGGGCTCTTGGATCCTGACTGCCGTCCAGGAGTAGTAGAGCGTGCGTACGGAGACTTCATCACCCGGCACTCTGCAAAAACAACAGGTTTTCACTCAGCCGGGATCACACTTCTCTGCTCAAAACTCATATACCCATGCATCTGAGCTGCCATCTTCATTTTTTCATCAAGGGTCTAATTCGACAGTTACCCATTTTACTGTCACCACTCTGGGATGAAGTCCAGACAGTGTTTTGACATTAGGAAGGAGAGAGGAGTTATACTGATGAATAAATAGTTGCAAGGCCAGGAAAAAGAACATTTTGATGAAAACAACGGTAATGTTAGGTTATGTGGTAATACACTGGTCAATTTCAGGAGGGATGACAGCACCCAAGGTCTCCCACATTTCTATTTCTCTAATTCCTAATTCTCTCTGATTTCAGTTCCAGAAAAAACATCAAATACTATTGTAACCTTGATTGCATTTATCTTTCTCCTCTTTCCCTCCTTCTATCCTTCTGTCTCTACCTTTGCAGCTAACCCTTGCTTAACTTCTCGTTCTGCATGAGGGTCAGCCTCCTCATTATATGGTCAGGTGCTTGTCCTTTAGACAAGATAGTTAAGCCAAAGCTACATGTATCTAACCCCTTAATAAACATTCCTGAAAGTATGTTCTTATTGGGTGATGTTACTCCTTGTGAAGCATTGGGGCATTAGCATTGAAGTACTTTATTTTCCTGTGACCTCCCTGCACTGTAAGAAAGATTTGAATCATGCAAAAAGAAGCAGCACAGCCAGCACCATAACCCCACACACTCATAGTTTTTATTCACAGTGCCTTTGTTATTTAACATTCAGTACTGTTGTGTTGGTATTATTGGTCACTCAATAGTAATAATACACTGAGACACCACACTGAACTGCATTGTGATAGCAATTGGGATTTAATTGATAGTACTGTGATAGTGACTGTAAACAACACACCCTTGAAAGGTTTATGAATATATTTTTATTAATTTCTAGTTGAATAGTACATAAAATTATTTTTCATTCATGACAATGGACAAATATTTTCATTGATATTATAGAGCCAGTTACATAGAAAAGGGTAAAGGAGATTGTGATTGATATTAATATTATTGATTTTTTTTTTTATCTGAAGAAGTACACCATCTTGTCTGGAAAAAAAAATGTTTTTAAATATCTAAATTTTCCAGGTCATGAAAGAAAAAAATACAAATATTATGCTCTAGCATTTTTTTTATTTCCATTCAAAAGAAGTTGTCTTCAAAAGAGGTTATGTCATCACTGACACTAAATGTTTTTTGAAACAGAGTGAATTCCATACCATACCAAAAAATCAGTTTTACTACAGCTGTCGTTTTAAGTCTTTACTAAGCACCACAAATATAAATAAAACACACAATATGAAAGGCGCCATATTGTCTTTCAAAAATCTTTAAAATTCAAAGATTATCTTTCAGCCTATACAAATAAATGAATGATTTACTGTATATATTTTCAGTAATACTGTAAAGCATTTGTTTATGAATTTAATTGTAAAAAAATGATATTTTTTATCTTACAATTTTAGATTGGTTAACTGTTATCTTAGGTTAACACAACAAAATATTTCAGCCCCTCTAAATTTAGGTTTCTGTAAATCCAGAATGTTTTGTGATTATATTTAATCTCCAGCTGTATCTACTCAGATACAGACAGGAAAACAATCTCGTTTACGTACAAAAACTCGCTGATTGTTGCTACTTCAATAGTAAAGTAAAAATAATAAAGGCCATATCTTTACTATTACCAAACATCTGTGATACAGCTTATCAAAAATAAATAAACTCTGAGTTTTCATAATAAGCAGCATAATCAAGTGGCTTGATTGAAATTAAAATATCCCGAGATCATCTAATGAAGGCAGAAAAATAATCTGTAACTGTGATGCATTCTGTGTAACACAGTAAAATGCAATTTTTAAAAGAAATATGTGATCCACACAAAGCTGCATACACAAATGGCTAAAAGGGAAAAAATATTATCCATAGATTTATATTAGAAAATACCAACATTAGTACAGAAATTTGACAGATGCATGGAATTGAGACACAACCATCTGTAACACTCATGAAATTGACTTTTCCCTCAGGAGTAAATAAGGAAAAAGCTACAGCTACTTAACTGTATTCTGTGACTTTAATTCTTCTAATTTAGCAGTTAAATTAAGTGTTGCATGTGTCTCTCCTCAAGATTTGTGACAGATACATCAAGGAGATCAACATATAGAAGCTAATGTATGGATATGAAAAGTCTCTAAAATTGTAGGCAAATTAAAAAAAAATGTTTAGGGTTCCTGAGAAAACTACTTTTTACCTAGCATACCACAATAGTATCATCTCATGTTTCAGAAAGTATTCTGTAATCATCATTCCTGTGATTCGTTTTGTTGCTTTGTGCAGCATTCCTCTGTCCTAAATCAAACATGCATACGATGGAATGCCTTTTGAAATTAGATGAGATGAAGTGTTACAATCACACTGAGATAAAAGTTTTTTTTAACTTTAAATGACAGACCAACTCCATGCATGTTAAAATATAATTAGGCCTACCAGTCACAAAGGCTGCAGAAGCCTTACCACTGTGATCCAAAACAAAGTCATCTTGAGCATAACGGTACTTCTCTGGTCCACAGGCAATGAAAACATCGTCATCCCCAAAGAAGTCCTGCAGACATGTGATCTACGAGGAAAAATACACAGAATGGGAAAAATCACATGTAAAAAAGGAATATGATATGAATATGATTTTCTTAGTGATAAATACTCGTTCTATCACCAGTATTTCCATTTTCTGCGTTGTTTTCTTTATTTTAGTTCAGTATGATACGAATTCAGTGGTGTATTAGACAAAAAAACAGGACCTTTGAAAAAACCCATTAGTTTGCAATTATTATAAATGTATATGTTCATTTATCAAATACAACTGTAAGAAATAGTATGACTGTTTATCCAAGTGAATATTTTGTTTTAAAGTCAAATAAAGTAGATTAAAACCAAATTGTTTAATGTTAAATAAATCTTTACAAATATGTTACCTAACTCCAAATGTCAGAATACATATTTAAATCCTGCATAGTGATAAACCCATCAATATAACTAAAACACTCCATTAAATCAGTTACAATCCTCATTGCAACTGTAACTAAAAATAACGCTTCTGCAGTATATCCTTAGACTTAAGCTGAAAATTGTTCATGAATTCAGCTTGGGTCTTGCACTAGCATGTGAACAATGAAGATTTTGGTCAATTTCACCAAGACCATCACCATTCACGGCCTCTACATGTTTTCATATTGCAAACACCAGACTCTGAACCTGTTAGAGGGGTGACATCTCACACCAGCTGATAATATCCAGGTCAATCAAAGCCCTCCCGGCACAGATGAATCTTCGTCAACTCCTAGTTGAGGAATCCCAGTCACAGTACAGAAAGCCAATGCAGAGCCCCAAACTGAACCACAATGTCTGGACTCTATAGTGTCCAAACATGGTGCCTCCATTATTTGGACTCCTTGGAATCCCCTGACATTAACAGAAAATGTACTAGTACTTTAAACTACATAAAGGTCACATGTTGTACACCACCCTCAAGTTAATCCATTAGGGTGTTGTGGTATTTGGTGAACTAACTTCAGATTTAATATGGAAAGAAACCCACTTTCCAGCTCACACTTCCTGCACAAAATCTAGAGCTGACATCTGCAGCATGGAACCAATTAACCTTACTCAGGAAATTCCTACTACTTAATTACTATTACTTGTTAGCAGAACATCTGCGCCCAGTGAATATTTCTGGGTGAAACCTGACAAGTCCACAGATGATTTCATTAATTTTTTCACATTTTATAATAAGAAACAATCTAAACATCTACACATCTCTAACCTACTGAATAAGTAAATGGAGGTACACTGTAAACCTACAGCAGACTATTTCCTGTTATGATACTTAAAATAGTTACATATTATTCGCATAGTGCTTCACAATAACTGCTTCGTTTAGTTATTGCTCTACATTATTTTCTGTATCATTGGAGTTCTCAAGGTTGTGCTTTTATACCTTTCTGTGTGGCTCAAAACAACTTGATTTTGAACTGCAGCTATTTACTGAACATTAAATATTAATAAACAATATTTTGTAAGAAGCTGAGACAGTACTACAGTATATGTACAGTACATTGTATAAGATAAGATCACTTTATTAGCCATATACAATTGCTTGCATTAGGGATTTGTCTTTTCACATACCCCAGCTTGCTCTCCATGATGACACACAGGCAGAGAGAAGCTTGGAGTCAGAGCACAGGGTCAGCCATTGTACAGCACCCCTGGAGCAGTTGGGGTTAAGGGCCTTGCTCAGGAGCCCAACGGCGTAGGATTCCTCTGCCGACTGTGGGATTTGAACCGGCAAACTTCCAGCCACAGGTGCAGATCCTTAGCCACAGAGCCACTGCTCCACCCCAATACAGTATATAGTATACAGTATACATAATGTGTTTACACATCTTAAATCTCTAACACGCAATGGATTAAATTGAATAATTATCCCAAAGACTCTAATTAAAATGAGATATGTCTTTGGCAAGATACACATACATGAAAAGGGTCTAATGAACAGAGTTATAGCTCTTTGTCTTTCCTGTCAGACTGAAGATGTCTATGGGTTTGTATGCTTTGTATACAAAGCTTAGACCAATCACCGCCCACAGCTTTATAATTATTGTTCAGCTGCATACTGATTCCGAGCTTCAGAAATGCTTAATTAAATTAAATCTAAGTATCAAATGCTTGGATTAATAAATCAGTGTCATAACAACAGCATGGCATAAGGTGTGAGCACAACAGATGCACAGATGAATCATCACTCGAATCAGTTAAGGTGTTTTATTCAGGAATATAATAAAAACACTGCAAATTAAATCATCTTAATACAAAATCTGAAAATCCAAATTAAAAATCTGAAGAAGGAAGTCTACAATGAATTACATTAAACAGCAGCAGATACACACCTTAGTAAATCATGACTGGAAAGACTACATTGCATAATTTCAGTTGCCAAGGAGACTGTGCAACCAGCATCCTTTTCACAGCTCTTTCCTCACATTTTTATCACAAACAGAGAAGTGTCTCATTCTCAGCACAGGGCCCAGTATATAACATATAAAAGAGTCTGTTTTTGCCTATTTAAGTGATTCATCTGAGCTGGCTCTCTAAGGGTGGCCTGTCCAGTGGACAGTTCTTATGTAGATTACACTGACCTAAGGAAGTGTGGGCAGCCAAACAAATTGGATGATGATAACTCTGTTCTTCCTGCAGTGACACCAGGAGATCTGGACAATGTACTGGCCAGATGGGACCTTATACTGTAAACGTACCCCTTTCAAACAGCAGCACTACAGGGTCCACAATTCACCCTGTGAAGCTGACAGATGGAGCCTATGGTGGTAACTGGCTGTTTTCTCATAATGAGATAAAAAGCACAAATAAATATAATGTCTTCCAAGGCAAAAATAAATATTAAGAGAGAAGTTGGGATGACCAAATAAACATAGATTACATTGATTCCCAAAATTGTATTCCAAATAATTCATATCCACAGATAGAAACAAAATAAAACCTGTAACTCTCAGAAGTCAACATTAGGACAGAAACAGAAACCTACAAAGACAAGATTTTTTTCTCTGGTCCTGCTAAAATTTCAAAATTTATACTAGGGTGGTGCCTCAGTACAAACAAAAAGCTGTAGAAATGTAAAACAGCATTAGGCAGGGGTAAACCTGAATTCTACTTATGTATTTATGACACATTTTACTGTGTACATGGGACTGGTTGCAAATCAGAGCAGGCCATTCGGCCCGTCTAGCTTGTTTGTTTTATTTCATTATCTAATAAATAAGGCTGCCCCAGTTTTCAAGACAGAAATAATTTCTGAACTGTATACACAGTAATTATCACCACACCAATTCCTGTCCGAACAAATAGACAATAAAGCGGGACTGAAAGATTTTAGGATTCAAGTGAGTGGTTATGAATTTATCTGTCAATTATACCTTGTCTATTGAATTTCCAAGTATATGCTGTACTGTGTGAGACATATTCGGGTAAACATGTTCAGTGTGTGGTAATCTGTTTGGTGCGAGTGAAGTTTTATTTAATCTCTGACCCAGAGAAAAGTGTGATGTGGACGGTTGAGGAGAGAATGCAGGCTTGCGCTGTGTCCGTTATTTTGAATTCTTTTTTCCTTCTTCTGGTTTGGTCGGTTAGTTTTTGTTTTTGTTTTACCAATAAAGTTTGATAATCGGCCAGTGAAAGCTCCGTTGTCCTTCACATGAATGCCTGAAACATTTTACCGAACCCAGGATCTTACAACTGCATACAGTATATTCAGACTACATTACCTGTATTATTATTATCATGTTTTATTTTTCAAGAGAATTGAAAATCAAATGTGAAGCTGTTATATAGTACATAATAGGTATTGAATATAGACGTCACTATGACAACCTATGAAAAACCTATATAAACTAAGCCAGTGTGGTAAAGTTGGTGGAGACGGAGCCAAAAAGACTTGCAGCTATAACTGCTGAAAAGTCCACCTTTTCAGCAGTTATAGCTGCAAGTGTTCTTGGTCTGAAAACATACAATGTATGGCACAATCAATACATTTCAGTTTTTCAAGATTAGATAAAATACTGTTACAAATGGGGTGTTACGAAAATGGTGAAAATCAGGAACTGATTGATCAGATAAGTCAATCAGTGAATTTAATTATTCATAACCTCCAACTTGTGATTTCTAGAAATATACCCAAGCAGTTGGTATTATTGGAGGCACGTGAATTCTTTGTTCTCTGGCACAGCTTTGTTGAGCAGAGTAATAATCCAAATATTTATTACAATGACACAAGACACAAACTACACCTCACACAACAAAACATACAAGTTACTTTATGTACAGTATTTACAAAGAAGGAGTTTCAGAGGCATAACATTCTGGTCACCCAGAAATCCCCAGACTGCTACTAAGCACTAAACTTTTAATATGCCTACAGAAGCCACACAAGAGATGAGCTGCCTTCTAGCTAAATACAATGTAACCTGCAGTTAAATCTCGCTCTCTCTGCACCCCAGATGCCTCAAAATAATCCCTATCCATAAAAATGCACCCTAAACAGGAAAGATCTTTCTAACTGCGGTATCCTTTACCCAGAAACCTGAAGTTTCCTTAACCACAGAATAGCATGCTCTCTCTAACAAGGTTCAAATACTTAACTCCATTCAGGTTTGATTTGGATGATCAAAGTATGGGCTCTCTCCTGGCGCAAGCTTCAACTCCCAACTCTGGACTCCTCATTTCTTCCTTCCTCTTCTCCTAATTTGATTTTATATTGTGTGCGTCTGTACTGTTCCTTGCCAAGCATTAACCCACAACTTCCCTAGGTATACTAAGGTAAACTTTACAATTGTTTCTGCTCAAGGGACCCCCAGACCTCAGCAAACATCCTCTCTGCTTTGAAGCTAGGAGTGTTTACCCTTCCCAGTGTCACAAACTTTATCCAAAATCTAAGAGACACTTCTCAGTCACTTAAAGCTGTAACAATACTAAGTGAAGAAATGGGTACAAAGAGAAACTGCATTCCCACTGCAACAAAATGATATGATATTGTTACGAGCTACTGTTATC